AATACAAGACAGAGAGACCAAATTGGATACGGCTTGAGTCTTTAAACTCTCAAATCCCACTTCCAGCGGCATACTTTCTCCAACAAGGCCCCAACTCATAAACATCTTCCGAAACAACCCTGCCAAGTGAAGACCAAATATGAGCCTATAAGGGACGTTCTCATTCAAACCACCACACCTGCTCTGTTAGTTTTCTCTTAAATTCTAATGTAGCTGCCTTTGTGTCATTTTTCAAATTTTTGGAACACAGGGTTTCTTTGTGTAGCCCTGGCTGTCCTGGCCCTGGCTCTGTAGACCAGGCTGACCTCAGACCCACAGAGATCCATCTGCCTCTGCCTCTCAAGTGCTGGGATTAAAGGTGTGTGCTACCACTAAAGTGAGAGAGAGGAAGAGAGAGGGTGGGGGAAAGAGAGAGAGAGAGATAGAGAGAGAGATAGAGAGAGAGAGAGAGAGAGAGAGAGAGTGCCAATGCCTCAGTTTCTCCAATAACATAGCCCTAGGCAACCTTGTGGATCAAACACTTGGGCTTTCTCTTACTGGAACCCATCTTTCCTGTACAGTCATGGCTTACTTCTACCAAGACTTTGCACTTTAATACAATGTGTTAATCCAAGTGTTGTGGCCCACACCTTTATTCCTAGGATTTGGTGAAGCGGAAACAGGCAGAGTTCCATGCCAACCAGGGCTACATAGAGAGATCCTGTCTCAAAAAAAGTAAAATGTCTAAAACCAGTCCAAGGGCTGATCCCAGTCCCCGATGGATGTGGCTGTCCATTGGCAGTTAGTTTAGCAATATTGGAAATTCAGGTAATTGTTGCTAGGTCTGAGAGTCACTGTGGGTAAAGGCGCAGGCCAGTAATATTTAGAAAGCATCCCTGGAATCTGCGAGAGTCATAGTAAAAGCAGAGGCCACTGACATGACAGAGGGACAGGGTGAGGAAGACAGGCTGCCAGCTCAGGGGTTACTCTATGCTGTAGGAAAGTTCGGCTTTGTTGCTGTGCCAAGCCTAGAAGTAATGGCTCCTTTGATTAAGTAACAATCTTAACCTGATTTACTTCATTTTGGTAGAACATGTGCCAAGGAAGATGGACCTTGTATCTTGCTTACACGAGTAAACAGCCTCTCTCTGGCACAAAGATACAAAACTCAACAACTATTCATGCCAATAAATAGTATCTGAAAATATTTAAGACCATATCAGAAACTCCAGCCAGGTAAGTTTACCAAACAACCACACAACATGTAATCCCTTTATCTGAGGCTATTTAAACAAACAAACAAACAAACAAAGGACTACCCCAAGCTCAAAGTGTGCAGGCACTGAGTGATCTGGTCAACTGCCAAGACTGGTCCCGTAGAGCTTCTCCTGCCGGGGACACGCTTCCCACACACCTTGCCTCCTCTGCACCTTTTCCTTGCTTCAATCTCAACTCTCTGCCACCGACTTCAAGACAGAATATTTGATCTCTGCCACCTGTTTAACCCTTTCTTAGCCATTCTGTGAAGGGCATGATTGCATATAATTGTGTGAAACATTCACGTGACATCTGCCAGGAAATATTAGCGGTTAGATTGTTACAAGATCATCTCTGGTGGCCACCTGGCTAGCACGCAAAATATGGCAACGAAACAGACACACTTGAGAACTTTTTATCATTACGTTTACCGGTCTCAAAAAAAAAAAAAAAAAAAAAAAAAAAAAAGTCAGGACCCAGGATCACCACACCTCCGGAGCATGAACCCCAAACTGAGTGCAAATCTCCTCACCCGCTCCGCCACCACCACCACGCAGACAGCAGGGATGCGGGTGGCAAGCGCCCAGCTGCTCAGAGAGCCCGCAGCACTGAGAGCTCAGAGAGGGACAGGATAGCGGCTCTGCCTGCTGGCTCAGCTTCTCCCAGTAGAACCCGGGCCAGGGAACTCAGACTACTGCTTGGCGGAGGTGGCCTCCCCACTGCCGCCGCCTCCTCATACCCAGGACGCCCAGCAGCAGGCACCATTTTTAGCCACTAGGTGTCCTCAGATCCTCCCTTAACTCTAGCAGCGGGTGGACGTGAGGCAGACAAGGAGGGGGAAAACCTGGAAACTCTTTTGGGCTTGGACGGACATTTAATAGAGTACAAAAGTTGGCATCCCACGCGTTTTGCAGCACGTCTCTCCTAAGGCCAAATCTCTGGTTGTACAGTTTGCACAGCAATCATCCACCTATCCGTGCAGCAGTTCATGGGTCCACTTCTTAGTGGTAGGAGACTGTTTTACAGAACCTACGCACAAAGGTCCCGGTCTGCCAGCGGGAAAAGCATTTGTTCACAGAACTTTGTCCTGGCTTCAAAGCAGCTACCATTTCTGCTTCTTGTTAAAGTGGTAGGGCCAAATGTTGGGGGCCCCGCGTATTCTATATTATTATAACACCTTTATATTTCATTCTGTAGGAAGGGGTCTACAGCACACTGGGCTAATGATTTGTTTCTTGTTTTTTCCCCTAAAAAAAAAAAAAAGCCACATCCTATTTCACCAGACAAACAAACGACCCAGTAGTCTCTAAGAGGGACAAAAAGTCTCCATGAGATAATAAATGAGAACAGAGAGTAAGACAGAAAATCTTTTTTTTAAATAGTTTTTTTGTTTTTTTATTATTTGCAATTTTTTTTTACATAATACAACAAATATCTCCAACACCAGTTTTCCCTTCTAACTCTTCCTGGATTACCATAAGACATCCCCTTCTCAATTTTATGCTTCCTTCTTTCATTTTATTAAGTTGATATTTATTGAGCTCTACATTTTTCTCTGCTCCCCTCCCTGCCTCTCTCCTCCTCTTCTATCCTTTCCCATGTCCCCTTGCTCTCAATTTACTCAGGAAATCTTATCTTTTTCTACTTCCCATGTAGATTAGATCCATGTATGCCTCTCTTAAGGTCCTCATTGTCTAGGTTCTCTGGGATTGTGATTTGTGGGATGAAGATTCTAAAGATTTTTAAGACAGAAAATCTTACTTCAGTTCCACTGAAGTAAGAACTCCGTGTAGCAAGTAGGAAGGAATGAAGTAAGAGAGAAAAGGAAAATATAGAGGAAACTGGAAAGGAAAAGAGCCCCTTCAGAGGTGCCCTGGTTCAGACCTCTCACCAGGGAGTTAGGGATTTCAACACAGGAGCCAGGTGGCTTAGTGAGTAAGCCACCACGCCTGCAGGACAACCCAAGCTCACTCTCTGGGACCTACATTGTGGAAGGAGAGAACTGACTACTGAAAGTTGTCCTTTGACCTCCACGTGAATGCTGTGACAAGCACACATGCCTGCATGTGCACATGCACATAAATACACAGTAAAATAAAGTAAAATATAAAAAGAAAAGAATTCCAATACTCTTTACATTTTTTTTTGTGAAGGTTGTCTATACCAAGACAATATTTTGGGTAAAAACAATTTTTAAAAGATTTATTTATTCTATGCATGTGAGTGTTTTTCCTGCATGTATGTATATGAGCCACATGTATGCCTGGTGCCCATGGAAGTCAGAAAAGGGTGTCAGAACTCCGGGAACTGAAGTTGCTAATGGCTGTTAAATTTTTGAGGCAGCAGAAAAAGATCAAAGGCAGAAAAGGCAGGACCTTTTAGCATATAGGACTGTGTTTATTGGTTACTGGTGTACACAACAAGGGTGCAGACTCCCTTCCAGGAAGTTGAGTCTGCATGAAAAAAAATAAAAAGAAAGAAAAAAGATGTTCCTGACTCTTAGGGGCAGAAATAGTTGTAACCTGACTAAGAAGACATGTTCTCTCTCCATAGAGACAATATTTTTTTATATAGAGGTATTTTGAGAGCAGTGAATCATATGAATATATATGACCATGAGTATGTCCTGTCCCATTACTCTGTATATTTCTGTCCCAAATATTTTATGGGACCCTCACAAGCAAGACTATTAACTTCTAATTGTAAATAATCTGGCTTTCTTATGCAACCCCTGTATTTTAAGGATTTACTTTGTCAGATCCTGTCCTATCCAATATGCCTCAGAATCTAGTCTGTGATCTCTCTTATAAAAGATTTACTATAATTATTATTTATTATTATTATTATTGGTGGTGGTGGTGGTGATGTGTGTGTGCATGTGTATGCATGTGTGTTAATGTTTGCAGAGGCAAGACGAGGACATTGGATCCCCTGGAGCTGAAGTTAGAAGTGGCTGTGAGATCCCCAGTGTAAAAGCGTGGAAACTGACCTTGCAAGTGCTCTTAATTGCTGAGCCATCTCTCCAGTCCTCACTCTGTAAGTTCATTTAAATTCTGTGTGACCTTTGAAGATATAACTAAAGAACACATTATAATCACATCTATTGCTATTGTAAAGACAATTAAGTGTGTATTCTCCCTTGAGCAGTCTGCACACAGTCTTGAATATGTCTTATTCTTTTCTCTTTCTAGTAACCTTATTGCTTAAATCTATTTGAAACAAACAAACAAAAAATGAAGAAGGTATTTCTTAAGAAACACTTGTCCTAGTCAGGCAGAGTGGTGCAGCCTTTAACCCTAACACTTGGGAGGCAGATGGATCTCTGTAAGTTTGAGGCAAACCTGGTCTGTATAGCAAGTTCCAGGACAGTCAGAGCTACACAGTGAGACCATGTGCTGTGAGCCACAAGCATTATGCATTAAATGTACAGCTTACAGATCAGTAAACAAACTCATGGGAGTGTATCCCATCGAGCAAGGAACCTGATTTGCAGAGCTTCAGGAACACCTGTCACTGTTGATTCTATAGAAATCTTATGAAATCATGGCTCTTCTCCTTCCCATAATGGGATTCATCCTGAACTGTCCAATATGTGTATAAATCATTTGATGAGGTAATTTCTGTTATTCTTAAAAAACGATGAGAAAGCGGCTACAAACGATCCCCGGGTGGGCTGGCGGAGGGAGCCCGCCATGAGGGCGGTTACAGGAGGGCACGCTTCCTTGGCCCACGGTGGCGGCAGGTAACAGACGCGTAAACACAGGTAATAGCCATAAGTATTTATTAAGGAAGGGGGAGAAAGAAAGACAGAGAAAAGAGATAAAAGGAGAGAGGAGAGATAAAAGAAGAGAGAGACAGAGAAAACGCGTGCGCACGCCAAGGAAGCAGAGAGAGAGAGAGAGGTCCCAAGATGGCGATGGGCGGGTCAGAGGTTATGGGAGTGGGCGTGGCTAGGGCAGGGACCCAAGAATATCATTCCCACATCTTGCTTTTGATAAAAAGCAAATTAGACACTTCAGTTTGAAGGAATTGGGGCGGCGAATTCTCAAGACTGCTTCCGGCTGATTGTGGGCGTCGTCTTGGGGAGGGGTGCGAGAGAAGGCTGGGGTGCTGGGAACATCCTGGCATAGCTGGTCTCTTTGCTTCTGACCGATGTCTGTGGCATGGGAATGTCTGGAGTCCCTAAGTTATTGGCAGAACAAAGAACAAAGTCAAATTAAGGTTAAAAGGAAAAAATTTTAGGACCAGGGAATTGAGGGGGTATCTGACCTGTTTAAGATGGATTTCTTGATTTGGCTCCCTGGAACTCATGAGAACTCCTTGGGTTTGTGAAAACAGAAGTTTTAGACATATAATGACTGTAGCATAAGAGATAAATTTGGTTTGAAATTTGGTGAGGTCACCTTGTAAAACCTCAACCTGGCGAAACCTCTCAGCTGTCAGACTGTCAGAGATCTTTGAGAAGGATAAGATTTTACTTGAGTAACTGATTAAAAAATGACAGAGAACTTACTTGGTTGGCACCCAGAGCTACTCTTTTTTGGGTCCTCCATGGTCGCTGAAGGTTGCACTTGAGCTTTGCTGTTTAGCGCAGGGCCTGCCAGGCTCCAGAAGATCCTGTGGGCTAAGAAATCTGTAGGAAGACAGGCCTACCTTGACCTGAGCAGCTAGGCTGTCGATTCCGGTGATTCCGTCCACGTCTAGAGATCTTTAGTTTAGATGAAAGGCAGGTTTTCCCAATGGTCAGCGCTCTGCAGTCGAAGCGAGATGCAGAAGGACGTTGTTCTGCGCGTGACTGTCTTCTTTGGAGGGAGCAGAAAGCTGCTGCTAGGAGCCAACCTGTCTCTTTTGTCGTTGTTAAAAGTTATTTTAATAATTAAACACTTAAATATCACATTCCCCAGATCTCTGAGCAGTTGAGGGCTGTTTATCAGGTATAACTATAGTATAGAATTTGTTTGGAAAGTTGGGTCTGAGCTTGACCAAATTGGCTCTTAACAGGTAAGATTTACATTTGTAAAAAGATAGAGGGAAAAACTGCTTGAAATATAAGGTTAGTGGCAAAACTGACAATGGTAAAGAACAGCTTAAGAGACTTAAAGGTACATACCAGTTTAAAATACAAGACTCATGTTTTGTAGTCTGAAATAAGATGTAATAAACAGTTATACATAGAGAGAGTGAACAAGAATTGGGCAACGTGGATGCCTCTGATGGGCCCTATCAAAGGCATTTGACCATTGCTCAAAACACATTTAACAGAGTTAGCATAAGGAGTTTGGTGAAAACCTGGTGAGAAGGCAGGGTAAAACCGGGAGAGTGTGGTCACATGACCTGGCTCTCAGCCAAGATGGTGGCGAAAAGGTCACCTGACCCATCTGGCCTCCAGCCAAGATGGCGACCGCCATGTGTAGTCTGCTCAGTTGGAAAGCCCGCCAAGCCACAACAAAAGCCGCAGAGTGGAGGGGCAAAAGGCTGGAACCGAAAAACGGCCGTGTATAGTTTAATGGGGCCATTTTGGACAAAAACTGATAAGTGTGAGGCATTAAAAGATGAGGCCAGAGTGATAGGTCTGGATGGATTGGCTCCCGTGGTCAAGGCCGTGCAAACACCCGCAAAAACCGTGGCACCTCAAGCCTACAACGAGAACGGCTCCCCGTTAAGGCGAGATGCAGATGGCACGAACATCCGCTGGCCCTATGGAATGGCGTCCGATTCCATAGGGGGGGATGTTATAACCTGGCTGAATCGACTCGAGCCTCCGACGGGAGAGCGACTCCAGGGCAGGAGGGATTCAGCCAAGGTCAGGCCGCACCAAGCGGCGTGCTGCGCCATAGCAGCAGTTACGACGAAAGAAGGAAGGAAGAGAAAAGCAAGGAAAAAAAGAAAAAGAGAGAACTGGAGACCCCGGGCCTCCAGGCGCGGGTGAGCTGAGGCTTAACACAGGAGACAAGCCGAATTGAATGCCAGCGAAGGGAACCGAGGCCCTGAAGGCCCGCGGTTGGAGGTTCCCCCATCCCTAAAAACCGTGAAGGGTTGCCGGGAGCTCAACGGTCAAACCCTTGAGTTAGAAGAGATGGTTAAGCTGGCCGAGATGGGGACACTCACGATTAGTTGATCTGTTGTTTGGAGGAGCTGCATCCAGGGAACACGTGGGTCGTAGGCCGGCGAAGTGGAAAAGAACCCGGTTCGGGAGTCAGGCACCAATGTTACAATGTTATTCTTAAAAAACGATTAGAGAGCTGCTGCAAACGGTCCCTGGGCGGGCTGGCGGAGCCCGCCATGGGAAAGCGGCTCAATTTCTTTCTGCCTGGGCAACTAGATGACCTCTTTCACACCATGGGCAGTCAAACCTGCATAAAGCTAGTTCCCACAATTATCCTTATTGGCAACCTCCAAATGTTAGGAATATTTCCTAAGCGAACTTTCTGACGACGCAAAAATTCTCAATCAAGCCAAATCAAAACAAGCCAAATTAAGAAATATTCAGGTTTAATGGGAGATCTGCACTCTTGGATGGACCCGAGGGGGAAACGGGAAGCCACAGAAAAGTGACCCCTGGGAGGAAGAAAGGGGGACCACGTGTTCTTTTGGGGGGGATCACTTAAGTACCCTGAGGAGTGGTCCTGACCCCACCCCCAGGGAGGGGTCAGGACCTGGCCTGCTGGGATTTGAAGTCCAGACCAGGCCTAGGGGCTGAGATAGATGCCAGGGACTGGGGCCTAGGCTCCCAACCTAACAATTGACAGGACAGGAGCTCTGAGCAGGAGGCACTGAGCAGAGAGACAGTATGTTACAGCTGTGAAGCTTGGCGTTCGTGTGGGACTCTTAACAGTGGGAACATGGATTGTCTCTGACTCTTACCTGCTATTGGGACCCTGTCCTCCTGGGTTGCCTCGTCCAGCCTTAATTGGAAAGTAGGTTCCTAGTCTTACTGCAATGTGATATGCCATGACTGGCTGATATGGGAGACTTGCCCTTTTCTGAAGAAAAAGGAGGAGGTGTGGATGGGGAAGAGTCAAGTTGGGGGGAGGGACTGGGAAGAGAGGAGGAAAGGGAACTGTGATTGAGCTGGCACAAATTAATAAATAAATATACAAAAAATGCCAAAAAAGGGGGGGGTTGCCATGGTCATGGTGTCTCTTCACAGCAATAAAACCTTAACTAAGACAATGGCCTTGGCTGCATGGCATCTAAAAAATTAAGTTATAAAGATGCACCATATCTGAGAGCAGGACCATCTTCCAATCTTCTATGCCGTTTGTTTCTTCAAAAGATCAGGTGACTTCACAGGTATAAGTACTTAAGTGGACTCTTAGGTTCTTTCCAATGGTAGTTCTCAGGAGTTAAATTTGGTTTGGGCTGGTGAGATTGTAGGCCCATATTTCATACGAGATATTTGCTGCCAGGTTCTCTGGCCATGCTTAGATCCAAAGGCAGCTGCTATCCTGCCAGACCACCTGCCTGTAGTCACCTAAAGAAAGACTCAGGACCGGACGGCTCCTTCTCTTTGTTATTATGTAGATTGCCTGGGAAGAGGTGTGGATTCCAAGCACTTGACTAAGTTGAGGTGTGACAGTACTCCCACATCCCTGAAAGAAAATATTAATGAGTTTCCACCTTGGTTTACCTGGGGGAATAAAAGGTGTTTGAATAATAAATGCGGGTAGATCTTCAGGAATGAATGAAGCCTGAGATGCCCTTCTGATATCGCTGTGTGAACTGTGTCTCTCTCCATATTTTCTGCACCTCCGCACTGGTCCAGTTAGGGAAAAGTAGTTTCTATGTTGAGGCTTTGGATCCTGACAGAGATCACTCAGCCTGCCTACTGACAAGCCTTACAACCTGTGTTTGATATCCTGAAGCTACATGCTGGTAAGAGAACACACTCTTGCAAATTGTACTCTGACCTCCTTGAGGAGTGTCTTCTCTTTAAGGACAGATGTCAAGCTTGTTCAGTCAAACAGTGGTGCAACTCCAAGAAGTAGGGACATTTGTTTCCGGCCAGTCTTCAGACTGCTGTAGGGGAGGCTCCCGGAGGAGATGTGTGGTGATGTTCTGTTTGTGCTGTAACAAGTAAAACTCGCCTGGAGATCAGAGTGTGGAGATAGCCACACGAGTTAGCCACAGAAACCAGGCAGTGGTGGTGCACACCTTTAATCACAGTACTCAGGAGGGAGACGCAGGCAGATCTCTGTGAGTTCAAGGCCACCCTGGGCTACACTAGATTGATCCAGTCTCAAAGAGAAACAGAGCCAGGTGGTTGTGGCTAGTATCTTTAATCCCAGTACTTGGGAGTCACATGCCGCAAAATATCAGCACTAAGGAGCAAGGAGGTAGAGACAGAGTGGAATATAAGGCAGGAGGAGAGAGTAGCATGGCATTCAGTCTGAGGATTCATGGAGACAGGGTCTTTGGTGTAGGAGTTCCTTCTATTTATGTGTTGCTTTCATTGGTTAATCAACAAAGAAACTGCTTGGCCTGATAGGGCAGAACTTAGGGAGGCAGAGAAGACAGAACTGAATTTTGGGAGGAAGAAAGCAGAGTCAGAGAGCTGCCATGGAGATGCCAGGTCAGACATGCTAAATCTTTCCCGGTAAGCCACGACCTCGTGGTGAACACAGATTAATAGAAATGGGTTAAATCAAGATGTGAGAGTTAGCCAATAGGAGGCTAGAGCTAATGGCCTAGCAGTGTTTTAATTAATACAGTTTCTGTGTGGTTATTTTGGCTGTAAGCTAGCTGGGCGGCTGGAACAAGGGGCCCTACTCCTTGCAACAATAAAAATGTACTATGGATATTTTCCTTTGTTTTTTTTTTTTTTTTTTAAAGGGGGAAAATGGTGCAGGACAATTCTGTATTCTGTCAATTATATTTTAAATAAATGCTGATTGGCCAGTAGTCAGGCAGGAAGTATAGGCAGGACAACCAGACGACAGTAAGTAGAGACGGGGCAATGAGAACAGGAGTATTCTGGGAAGAAGGAACCTCTCTCTGCAGTCACGTCCAGACACCAAAGAAGCAGGATGTGACCTGCCCTGCTGAAAAAGGTACCAAGCCATGTGGTGAACATATACTAGAATAATGGGCTAATATAAGTTATAAGCGCTAATACAAAGCCTGAGCTAATGGGCCAATCAGTTTATAACTTTGTAAACCTTTGTGTGATTTTCTTTGGGGGCTTACTGGCTACGGGAACTGGGCAGGACAAAAACCCCAACAAGCAGGCCCTCATGTTACAGGTCTTGCCCACTGTGGTCTGAGGATTCAGTAGAGATTTTAAAAGGTCTCTCTAGTGTCGGCTCCTTTACTTCCCTGATCTTTCAACATTTACCCCAATATCTTTCTGTGAGTTTTATTATTAAGACTGATTAGAACTCAAGCTACAGAATGGAATCTACAGGTCACAAAGTTGTTGATTCTGATAGGTGTTCCGAATATGAAAGAGAAGCCTACACATCCAATGCAGCTTCAAGGTAGAACTGATTCTTGATGTGGTCCTTGGCTCTTAGATACCAGCCTAGAAAGAATGACAAGACTCTACCTCAGACTCACTTCCTCCCCTGTAGGTAAGATTTCACTAGAGAACCCAGGCAGAATGGCCCCCATAGGCTCAAGTATTTAAATGCTGGCTCCGCAGTTGCTGAAACTATTCTGGGGAAGGAATTGATGTGGCCTTTGTTAGAGGTGTGTAAGCCCATACCAGAGCCAGTCTCTCTCTCTGTCTCCTGGATGTTGACACCTAAACTCTCACCGACTGCTCCAGTGCCATGCTTGCCTGTCTGTCACTGTGCTCTTCACCATGATAGTCATGGATACAGCCTCTGAAATTATAAGCAGGTCCCCAGTTAAATGCTTTCTTTGTAAGATGTTTTCATCATGGTATCTCTTCACAGCAATAGAAAGTAACTAAAACACACAGTGTTGGGTGACTTTTCCTGGGAAGAGATGCACAAATAAATGTCTACTTACCTACATAGGGAACCAAGAACAGACCAAAGTAATGATTCCAACAAAGGATGGGTGAATCAAAGATAGCTAGCTGCACTGCTAAAGGTATCAGGACAAGTAAAACCTTTCCCACAATGCTTGCATTTTAAGGTTTCCTCCACTGTACACCCTTTCATGGAAGTGAAGCGAACTGTAATGAGTGAAAGCTTTCCCAATGTTTGCATACGTAAGTGTTCTCTCTAGTGTTTGTTATTTCATCTTTTAGGAGGGAAAAAGAATGCGCAAAGGATTTTCCATACTGCTTACACACATAGGGATTCTCACCAGTGTGGCTTCTTCCATATGACTTTAGAGAACTGGAACAAGTGAAGACTTTTCCGCATTGTTTCCACACGTAAGGCTTTTCTCCAGTGTGTATTCGTTCTTACACCTCAAGGTAAGTAGAAATAATGAAGGCTTTCCCACAATATTGGCATTTGCAGGATTTCTCTTTACTGTGTAAGCTATCACGGAAGTGATGTGAACCAAAATCAGTGAAAACTCTTCTACATTGTGTGCAAAAATAAGATTTCTCTCCAGTGTGAATTCTTTCATGTGTTATCAGAGAAAAGGAACGATTAAAGATTTCCCTACGCTGCTTCCACACAGAGAGCTTCTTACCAGTGTGAATTCTATGAGTTTTTAGGGAACTGCAACAAGTGAAGCTTTTCCCCACATTGCTTACAAACATAAGGATCCACACCACTGTGCTTCATGTTTTTTGTGATCGATATGACAACAAGAAAGCTCTCCCACACTGTTTACATATGTAAGGCTTTTCTCTTATGAGTTTAAGAATTCCTAATTGTCTCACCAAATCTTCTGACAATGGCAATGAAGATGATTGGGAAGTATGAGGTCAATTGCTGCTGCATAGAACAGTAAGCACATTTTCAAAGCAGCTGCCTAGCTGGGCAGCAGCCAAGAAGGGGGTCCAGGGAAAGCCCACAACCATCCAGGCGAGGGAACCTGCTGTCTGAGTAACGCACACAGGAAATCGTGGGGAAGAAGCATGTGGAGCGGAGCTGCCTAGAGGGGCTCACACTGGCACCTTTCAGAGCCCAAGGCCCTGGGAAGCTTGCTGCAGAGAGGCTGCAACAGAAAAATCCCAGATTTGCTCAGCGGGGGCGGGGGGGGGGGGGTGGGGAAAAGAAAAGAAAAACCTAGCCAGCAGGACAGTGGCTCCAGTCCTGTGCAGCTCTGGCCTGGGCTGGTGACTGCAAAACCACAGGCCAGCAGCTTTTTCATAAATTTAGAAATTTCGAAAAGTTAGACACGAAATAAAATGCAGCATCATCCTAGTTAGCCTTAATAATAAAAATCCATAGTCAAATATCGGGGTAAAAGCTGAAAGATCAAAAAAAAAAGGAACAACCACATCTACCTCTTACTTCTCCGACTCCTCAGACCAAAAGGGCCAAGATCGTGGGCTCTGGGAACCACACCCCTGTCCTCCAGACAAGCAACAAGCACTTGTAAATGCTGAGTTGAGCCATTTTTCCAGTCCTGAAGGTCTGTGATCTGATTTTAGGAAACTCTTATTTAGAGAACACACTGCATCCAAATGTTTCAAATTCAGGAGAACTTTATACAATGAAGGAGTATCTCATTCTGGGACACATAGGATCAAATTAAGTCAATCCAGAGTGAAGAAACTGAGAAATACAACTACTCATTTTCCCTCGAGACAAAAACTCCTTAATCAGTAGGAACACAAGGTCTAAGTCTCTATGGGCTGGCTCCTATAAACCATTAGTCTGACAGTTTTCTTTTAAATTGTGTTTTATGTTTATTTAGTGTGCATGTACATACACATTGGCCATAGCTGAGTATGAAGGCCACACGACTTTAGGGAGCCTATTCTGTGCACCACGTGGATGAGAGACCAAACTCAGGTCATTAGGCTTGATGCTAGCGGCTTTATGCGCTACTTTTCCTACGATACCACCTTGAGACGGGACCTACGGACTATGGAGAGTTGGCCCAAGTATTACTGTAAAAGTTTATAAACCTAAGCCTGCAGCCAGTGATTACTGACTCTCTGAAGCTGACACCTGGCACATGGGTTTGTGACTGAAACTAAACCTGAGCCCACATCCTGGGGTGATCAGTTTCCCATCTCCTCTTTCCTCATTAGAATAGGAAGAGTGCTTTTCTAAAGAGCACAGAGACCAGACGGGTGGTGGTGTCACATACCTTTAATCCCAGCACTCAGGAGGCAGAAGCAAGAATATCTCTGTGAGTTCGAGGCCAGCCCAGTGTACATAGCAAGTCCAGTACAGTAAGGGCTGTGACAGAGAAACCCTGTCTCAAAAAAAAAAAAAAAAAAAAAAAAAAAACAAAACAAAAAAAACAAAGTACGGGCTGGCAGACAGAATACTACCTTTCCTCAGTTTGCCTGCTCTGTCAGTGCTCAGTTTACTTTTTCCACTCACTAAGGCACTGGGGCGAACCTTGATGCTTGGACATTTGTTCTCGCTAGGTGTTGAACTGATGTGGGCAAGGCTCAACAAGACAAAGCGAGGAAGTAGGGAACACGCAAGGGAAACCTCTAAAACGAAGAAGCTCCTTGGCGGAACTGACTTTTGAAAACCATTTAAATGACATTTATTTGTGCGAATGGAGGTGGGTGGAAGAACGTCTTACAGGAGGGAGTTTTTTTTCCTTCCACAATGTGACTAGCAGAGATCAAACTTGGGCCTCACGGCCAGTGCCTCTTTACGCCATCACTTCTGACCTGGTCGTCCTCAGATGCCGCAAGATAGTTTGAAATGACAGAATGGCAAGAGGGTCCTGCTGGGACTCCCGTTTTTCCTCCCTAGAAGATTCCATTATCAGAGAACACAATGGCAGTTCCAGGGCGGAGATTAACAAATGGCTACTTACCACTGATAAGAATCCAGCATCACACCAAAGCAATGATCCCACCAAAGATCAACGTGGAGAACAATGACTTTATTGAGATTTACTTACAGGAGTATGAATGAGGGGTTACTTACAGGCATATGGGTGACTCAAAGTCAGTTGCATCAACAAAAAGTACACTGAGGAAGGGTGACCCACACCATAAAATAAAAAATAAAAAATTCAACCCTATAGCTGCTCCCTACTCAATTTTCAGGCAGTCATAATATTTACAAAATTTTAATTAAGTCCTTTGCTGCTTATTATCTTACGTTTCATTCATTTATTCATATGAATAAAGTTAGGGTTGAAAGGGAGACATTATAATACATGGGAAATAAAATGCAGAGGATAATTTGAGGATACTTTGAAAGCTGCTATCACAAACTGGAAAATCAAGGATAATTTCAAGATAGTTATGAAATATCAAAATTAAGTCAAGAGGTAGAGTCCCATAGACAACCCCCCCAAATATTATAGGCTACTGCTATTGTCCTTGGTTACCACACAGAACTTGATGATAAGACCCTATTACTGAAGACACCACTTACTGAGTCATGGAACACGAAGAAATCAAGTTTATTCTGACCTAGAGGCTTCATCCTATTGCTTGCTTTCATGGCGCTGGAAGGGGCTGTGCCTACTACCAGAGGAGAAGACTCTGCAGGAAGCCTACCCAGCTGAGACCCCTCTGGTCTACAGTGATAACCAGTCTGACAAGATATGACCATGGCTATGGCATGAATGTTGTTGGAATAACCAGCCACTTTTTGACTGGATTTAAGGCCAATTCCACACACTCTACAAGATGGAACTCATGCCTGGTACCATTAATATGGAGAACTTTCTACTATTATTCTGTTAAAAGGACATGGTGCTAAATCCAACTCTTCTGGGTATCTTAATACCTATAGATAAATTTCTCTCTCTCAACCTTTATCACGAGTATTTTGTTTGTTTGGTTTTTGTCCTTTGTTTTTTAGTATATGGCAATTATCAGACTCACAGCTGGTCATCATACAGAGAAAAAGAGATTACGGAGGGCTCACCCCTAAATGCGACGTGTATCTGTATCAAATCCCTTCTCTCAGGGGACCTGGGACCATTGCTGAAAGAGGGAGCAGAAAGACTGGAAGAGCCAGAGGCAGTGGATTATTAGAGTCACATGGTGTGCTCTCGACCTAACAGGACAGCTGCACATACTAACTGACAAACAGCTGTGATTGCATACAAGCTCTAGCCAGACAAAAACCCAGGCATGGGAGAGGGAGGTGTTTAGAAAGCCCCACCCCTGAGTATCTGTTGACAACTGATGACTGCTGGGAGAGGAAACATCAGTTTTCTTCAGGGAGAGGCTATTTATGCAGCGGTGGATGGGCCTGCAGCCGTGCACACGCTGACAGCATTAGGAAACTCTATAGGTTAAACATGGAAGAGAAGAAATGGAAACGGAGCGGGAAAAGTGGTGACGGGGAGAGAAGAATCAGAAGGAAAGGAATGGAAATAGGTGGGCTGGATAAAAATGCATGCATAAAATTCTCAGTCAATTAACAAAATAAAATGAACAGATGAAGAAAAAAATAAATGAAGGGAATATGAACACTGTAAAAGATTAACACAACTAAGCTAGCAATGAATTTTGCCCCCAAAAGGAAAAGTATAGGACTGAATGAATTCACTACTGAATTCAACCAAGCTTCTTAAACTATTTCACTAAATATAAAGGGACTAAACACTAATTTATTCTTGGAAGGTAGTATTACCCTCATAGCAAAACCACGAAGGACTCAACAACAAAGAAAAAAAAAAAAAACCTTGATGAAAACAGATCAAAACCAACCAAACAAAACCCTCAAAATTATACTTCCAAACAAATTCAACATATTAAAAATACCACAAACTACGATCAGGTTGATTTCATTCTTTTCATATAAGTGTTTCCACAGATAGCAATCAGTAAATGTAACAGAGAACATAGATGTTCAAGGACTGAAATCCCCCATCACTGCACTACATGGAGAAGTGAACTCTGTCCAAAGTTCAACGTCCCTTGATGATACAGTCCTGAAAAAAAAAACTAGGAAAAGAAACACAGCTCACTGTAACAAGTTATACATGACAAAACTAGAGCCAAGATTATACCAAGCAGGAAAACTAAAATTATTCTACCAGGAATAGCACAAAGGTATCCACCTTCTCTATACTGTAATATCATCTCTTGAGTTCTCAGTCGGAAAAATAGGGGAAAAGAAAGGAAAGGGATCGAGTACAGGGCTGCAGTTCAGTGGCCCAGCACCTGCCGACCACACACGATCTCCTCAGCTCAGTCGTGAACATAAGGAAAGAAAAAGGAAGTGAAATAAGAGATCAAATCTCTATTTGTAGTCAATATGATCATCTTTTAAAAAACTATTTTGCCTGTATGTATATCTGTGTACCATGTGCATGTCTGGTGCCCAGAGACCAGAAAAGGGAGCTGGATCCCATGGAACTGGAGTCACAGATGTGAGCTGCCGGGTAGGTGCTGGGGAAACAAGCCTCAGGCCTCTAGAAGAGGGGCCGGTGCTCCCAACTGCTGAGCCATCTCTCCAGCCCCTGTGATCAGATTCTTAAAAGACCCAAGCAGCCACACCAAAAGATTCACTACTTCAGCAAAGTAGCACAATAAGGTCAGTATAGAGAAATCAGTAGCCGTTTATACGACAATGAAAATAGTAATAAAACAATCAAGGAAAAAATGTTCCAAAGGCCTAGGAAGTAAGTTACAAGACAAAAAGTCAAATTTATCTATGAATAAATAAACTTAGTCAAGCCAGCGAAAGGAGTACACAATGACAAGTTAAAAACACTTAAGAATTGACTTCTCTGAAAAAATGGAAAATATCCTTATACTCACAAATCAGCACCATTATAATATGAGAAAGTGTAATGTGTTCTGCAGACTCCACACAACCCCCCATCAAAACTCCAATGTCATTATTTACAGAAATAGAAAACACAATCCTGTAATTGTAAGAAAACCAAAAGACCCCAAATAGTCAAAGTAACACTGAGCAAAAAGCAATGCTAGCTAGCGTTATCGCAGTACTCAAATTATGCTATAAAACCATAGTGAAACAGTATAACATAAAAGCAGACACACAGAACAATGGAAGAGTACAGTGCCCAAACAACCGCGTAGCTGCAATCTTCTGATTTCAGCAAAGGCATCCAGACCATATATAGTGTAATAAATGGCCTCTTCAACAAGGAAAACAATTCTGTATGTACAAGAATATCCCTAAGTGCCTCTAGAATTCTGTACAAAAGCCATCTCAAACAGAACCAAAGACCTTAACATAAGGCCTAAAGAATGTGTAACTCATAGAAGAAAATCTAAAGAATACATGAAGCTGAGAGCACAGACAATGGTATTCTGAACCTAAGAATTTACAGGAAGAATGGCAAATAGGGAATAGCCATGAGAGCTCAGGATTACAATGCTGACACCCAAGAACCAGAGGCAGGACAACTGCTGTAAATTAGATGATAGCCTGGTATATGCAGCAAATCCCAGGCCAGTCGGGCCTCCATAGCAAGAATGTTAAAGACAAGCAAAAACAAAAAAACTCAATTTAATCATTGCATGAAGATAAAAGAGCTTTTACACAGAAAAGAGAATCAACTGTCAGAGAAAGCTACAGAATGGGGGAAACTATCCTTGGATACTCATTCATCTTTTAAGAGATTAATGTACAGAAAATACACACACACACACACACACACACACACACACACACATTGCAAACCAACAAACAACTGCATCAATACACAGGGAATCAATCAGTTCTCAAACAATAAATCATGAAATCAGTTCTCAAACAATAAATCACGAAATATTCTCAAACAATAAATCATGAAATCAGTTCTCAAACAATAAATCACAAAATATTCTCAAACAATAAATCATGAAATCAGTTCTCAAACAATAAATCATGAGTATTCTCAATACAATTAAGTTCACCTAGTGTGATTAGTTATCAAAGAACCAAACTAAAACAAGCTGGTGAGACTGCATGGCTGTTCCTAGAAATGTACGTTAGCATATTCACTCTGAAAAACAGGAAGTGTTTCATCAAAAACTCAAAATCTTATGACCCTGCTTACTACTGTTTAGTACACAGCAAAAGGAATCAAAGGCAGATTATACTATGCATACTTGTATACAGGTTCATATACTCCTCCCCCTAGTACTCAATTACAGAACCAGCCTAAGTGCCCATCAATAGATAAACTAAAAAATTTCAAATGTGGCATACATAAAATGTGGACTATAATAGGTCACTGAGAACTCAACAGGAAACTTGGCAGGAAAATGGACGGAACTAGAAATCACCATGTAAATGACGCTCAGCCCCCAAATGGTGCTCTCTGTATACAGAACAGAATCTAGAGTTAACAAATGAGAGAGATGAAACCATAAGTGAGTCTGATAGAGAGAACAGGCCCACTAGGGAGAAGGAAGGGAACAAGACAGTGATTATGGTTAAAGTACATGGAACGCTGGGCCACGATGTCAGGACAAAACCTATAATTATGCCAACATATGCACTAATTTTAAAACATTTTTTAAAAATTAAGTATAAATAAACGAAAATTTCCCCAACTTTAGGAAAATGTAAGTTGGCCCAAAAATGTTGGTGTAGACTAGTCTGAGGTTTGACGATCACCAGGGTGAAAGTAAAGTGCTTTTCTTCTATTTCTCACTTTACCATGGGCTTCTCATAATGTAACCCTCTAGGAGGAAACTCTAGGAACACCTACATATGTGGATGGCTGCATCCGTCATATTGAACATTAGTGTTTCTATAGAAACTAAGAAATGCAAAAACGATCCAAACACTAGTTCACCTCACTCAGCAAGGCCACATCTTCTGCCACTAAAGGCCATGTCACAGGTCTCCACCAATGAGAAATGCTCCTTAATGACTGACAGAAGGGCATTCTAGAAGGACATCTGTAAGCTGAAACAGTCACACATTCTGAATCGTGGTAGTGCCTTCTACTCACTGATGGACTGACAAGCAATCTCGCAAATTACATCACCCAGAACTCCAGTACTGCGGTCTTCCGGGTAACTGCTGCTGTTGTGATTACAAAAGCAGAATTACATTTGCCCCTCACCGCACCCAAGATGAGGGATACCTAAGTGCAGAATCAATCCTTGTAAGACCCCCTAATTAAAACATCAGTCCCGTCAGAAGTTCTAGCTTTTTACAGATGAGCCACTCATGTGTCGTGTATGGAGAGAGTTAGTAGAATTTATTGAACACAGTTTGGGGCAAGAAGGCAGTAATACCAGTATATCCTTTAGTGAATGACTAGAGAAATTACAACAAAAGTAAAATACACAGGAAAGCAAAACTCACACAGTGAAATTTCATAGTTACACACACACACACACACACACAAATAGTTCATGACATAAAACAAATCTAAGTGCAAGTTGACAACAGCTTGGCTTACAGAGAAAGTTCCAGGCTATCCAAGGCTACATATCATCATCAACTCCAAAAAACCCCCCAAGTTTCCACCATTCACTCAGCTCTTGGCACCAACACACCTTGGTTATTCTCAATTTTGGTCAGAACAGCTTCTTTTTACCATGGAGAGCTGTCAATGGAGAGATGCCTAACTAGGAGCAGACTGAATATTTACCTCTAAATGAGACAGCTGTATTAACCCCCACCCAGGCTCAGGGAATGCCAAAGAAGAAGCAACAATGCAAGAACTAAAGGGTGGGGAGGACTCTGTGAAGTGCTGGGGCTTGTGATATGGTTACTAGGATCATGAACTCATAGCACCACGTGACTGCATGCACACAACCTATAAAATTAAGCAGTCCAAAATCCCAGGATAGATGGGGTAGGTTATCTTCAGGCCCCGTCCCTTACTGAGAAGTTACCGGCAGTGAATAGCTGCTGGGGTGAGAAGAATCATTTGTGAGGACGTAACTACTGGTAGATCACCCATCCTCCAGTGGATGGCCCCATACTCATGCATGTATGAGCAATACTAATGAGACCTAGTGGGTTAATTAAAAAGACATAAAGCTATGAGAAGGGTATTAGGGAGAGTACAGGGAGAGTTGGAAGGAGAAATAGAGGATACGTATGATCATCTTTTATTGTATACATGTATGAAATTCTCAAAAGTAAAAAATAAGCCAACTTGGAAAAGTGACCTGACCTATGATTATAATATACTTACACCTACCTTCTGACTAGGAAAAACAAAACTAAACCCACCCTTACATTTGCTATTCTAAAAGGATTTTGAAAATACTTCAAAGTTGAAAGAAAATGTACTTAAAAGACCATGAGAACACATCAGAGAGAAACATAAACACAAGAGATGAAATCAATTTGAAAGTAGTTTATGCCTGAGGAGGTGGCTGACTGGGTAAGACCACTTGCTGTGAGGACTCAAGTTTCATTCCCTATCAACAAAAAACTGGGGATGACTGAATGTGTCTGTACACCCAACACTATGGGGAGTGAGGAGACAAGAAATGCTGGGTTTTCTTGGCTGTCTGTCTAGTTCTAGGATCAATGAGACCTGCCTTGGGGGAATAACATAGCAATAGAATAAGACACCCAAAATATTCCTTTGTGAACACCACCAGCACATAAACCATACCATCAACACATAAGCAATGCTCTCAAGTGTTTTTTTCTTTTGTCATGAAAAATGAGAGTATAGACAAAATCAGGCAAATGAAACCAATAGGACTATTCCAGTATTCACAAAGTGATATTTTAACCATCCATTAAACATAATTTACGCAGGAGCTTGAGGGAAGGCTCAGCAGTTAAGAGTACTTACTGTTCTATCATGAAGATCAGGATTTAGTTCCTATCACACACATCAATCATGTCAGATATCTGTTAATATCTGTCAGATGGCTCCAAAGGATATAACATTATCTTCTGGCCTCTGCAAGCACATACCTACTCTCTTTTTCTTGCTTACACACATATATAGATACTAAAATGCTTTTTAAAGATATTTATGGACTGGCATATTTCATATATCAATTCATCAATAAATCCACATAATGTACAATGAAGGAAGCACCTACCTTATTTGATACAAAAAGACATCACTCATTAAACTAATACATGATTGCTTTAAGAAACCTCACAAAATAATTAAAATGCACTTTCGATTTTCTGGTCTCCAGTTCATGGGTTTTAGTTGCCATTCCACATTACACAATGCTCTGCCTAAGGCTTGCTTTGGAGAGTAAGATTTAGAAACGAGTCAAGAGATGAACTGTTAAGCAGGAGTTAATGATTGCGAATGTGGAAGTGGACACCTTTCATTAAGCGTTCAAGAGTTAGGAGTTGGAAGATTACCAGTTCCAGGTAAACCTGGCATACACAGCAAAAGCTTTTTCTTGGGTGGGAAGAGGGGCTTGAAAAAAATTTAAATTTTATTTTTATGTGTCCATGTGAACCTATGTCACATGTATGGGGGAAGAATTGGATCTCCAGGAACTGGAGTCACATGCAGCTGTGAGTCCTGTGACTGGGTGCTGAAAGCCAAATGTAGGTCCTTTGGAAAAGCAGCAAATGCTCTTAAAGGCTAAGCCATCCCTATCAGCCCCTGAAATTTTCCAATAAATACAAAATACTGTACTAACAACATTCTTTTCAATGTATGCATTTCCTGGAGCATGCTACAAGAAAAAAAAATAAAAAAAACCCTATTATGTCCAGTCCTTCATAATACTGACATTTATCAGATTAAATATGAAAAGATTTCAAAGGACTTTTCCTATATTCACTACTGTTCTAGACTTTCAATGTTTTCAACAGCAAAGGTTTTCATCTGGTGTGTTTTGTTTCCATGTGTGCCAAATGAAACCTTGAACATCTCTTTCAAGCAAATCAACACTTCATATCAGGTCCTTTCCTTATCTCTTAGTTGAACCAAGTGGTGTTCATACTGGTTTTCCTTTGATAGGAATTCTCCCCATGTACATTCTTGTGAGTGCTATTTAGGGACGATGATGAAGAGTTCACAAATCCTATTTTGAAGGTTCCTCTACCGTAGGTTCTTTCATGTCTGTGAGAGAATGTGATGACAATTGAAGATTATCAAAGATTGCCTACATAGGTGAAGGGTCTATCTCCGTCGTGACTCCTTCCACGTAGTCAAGGGGAACGGGGAAGTGAAGGGCTTTTTTTTTTACAACACCACATATACAAGTGGAAAGTTTCTCTAGAGCTCTCTCATGTCTCCTCCATGATCTGGGACTGCAGAAGGCTTCACCACATCACATGCAGTCACAGGCCTGTTTTCCTTTCATGGACTTCAGGGAACTTTAAGCATTTGCATACTGAGTTTTTAAAAAAAAGTTTCTCTCCATTGTGGCACTTCATGTTTGTTTCAATGAAACAAAGCAAAAGGTTTTTCCACACTGCTAGCACAAATCCAGCTTTTACTCCCAGTGTGATTTTGTTTATTTCTTGGAAAGCTACCAAGCCAATTTTTTTTTTGCTCATTCATTATTAAAAAATATTAGAATCCATGGTAGTGTGGAGTAATTCATGCCTATGTAAATGGTTCAAAGTGAAGAAGGGCTTCCCACAGTACTTACAGTTATAAGGGTCATCATCAATGTGTATTTTTTCATGCACCTGAAGATGACTGTAATATGTGAAAGCTTGCCCACACTGTTTGCACACGTGGGGTTTCCCATCACCATGAGTCTTCTCATGTCTCTGAAGGGAATAAGACCAAAGAAAGGTTTTCCCACACTGCTTACACTCATAGGGCTTCTCGCCAGTGTGAATCCTTTCATGTGTTTTCAGTGACCTGGAGGAAGTGAAGCTCTTCCCACACTGCTTACAAATATAAGAAACCGGGACGCTGTGAAGTGCTTTATGTTTTTGAAACTGACTCCAGAGGACGAAGGCATTCCCACATTGCTCACACACGTAAGGCTTTTCATCCACGTGAGTTTGCTCATGTTCTAGAAGGTCAGTGGAAGTAGCGAAGGCAACCCCACACTGCTTGCATACAAAGGGTTTCTCCTCCGTGTGAATTTTCACATGTCTCTGAAGAGAAGCAGAACGAGGAAAAGTTTTCCCACAATGATTACACACATAGGGTTTCTCACCAGTGTGGGTTATTTTATGTCTTAAAAGTGAATTCAGCCGAGTAAAGCTATAGCCACACTGGTCACATACATAAGGCCTCTCCCCAGTGTGAATTCTTTCATGTGTTCTCAGGGAACCAGAACACGTAAAGCTTTTTCCACATAGCTTGCAAGCATAGGGTTTCACACCACTGTGAATTATTTCATGTTTTCGTAACTGAATCCAACGCATGAAGGTGTTTCCGCACTGCTTACATTCATAAGGCGTTTCTCCAGTGTGGATTCGTTCGTGTATTCGAAAAGAACGATAAGTAATGAAGGCTTTGCCACATGGTTTACACACATAAGGTTTCTCTCCAGTGTGAATTCTTGTATGAATCTGAAGAGAACTATAATGACGTAAGGTTTTCCCACAGTAATTGCACACAAAGAGGTCCCTAACAGAGTGAGTTCTTTTATGTGTTTTAAGGGAACGAGAGTGGGCAAAGGTTTTCCCACACTGCAGGCACACGTAGGGCTTCTCCCCAGTGTGGATTCTTTCATGTGTTTGTAGGTAGGTGGGAAAAGCAAAAGCTTTCCCACACTGCTTACATATATAGGATTTCTTGGCACGATGGCGTCGCTCATGCCTCCGAAAGTACCTTGAAGAACTGAAACCTTTCCCACATTGCTTACATTGGAAGGGCTTTTCTTCAGCTAAAGTCTTTTGAACATTTTGACCGTATCTATAGTCTTCATCACAGTTCTCACTTTTATACAGTCTCTCTAGGGTGTAAGTACTTTCATGGTTCTCAAAGGGTGGGAGGGAACTGGAGGTGGCTCCAAACTCCACCGTGTTGTACAAATCCTTTCCGTAGTCCTGCTCTTCATAGGATTCACGCTCTGGGTCAGGCTTAAGGAGCACACTTAGAGACAAATGGCCAATGACCACTCTTGCACACCCGCTGCTTTCACATATATGCACTCCTGGAAAGGGGTTCTGGTGTAGAATGCTCTGGGTAGTGAAGTCAAAGATTTCTGCACACTGATGATGATCGTCTTTATAGTCATAGAGTCCCTCCACCACTTGGCCACTGTAAAAGAGCAAACGTGTGTCACTGATATTTTATTAACTAGCTATCAGTAGACATGCTGGCTCTAGGCTGTCGGGGTTTTTGCTTGAATGCTTTCAGCAATTCTAAAGACAACGGTAACAAAAACAGTGGTAGTCACGGGCGGTAGTATTATACCATTTACATGTATAGCAAACATGTCTTTTGTTTTGTTTCGGTTTTTCAAGACAGGGTTTCTCTGTGGCTTTGGAGCCTGTCCTGTAACTAGCTCTTGTAGACCAGGCTGGCCTTGAACTCACAGAGATCCGCCTACCTCTGCCTCCTGAGTGCTGGGATTAAAGGTGTGAGCCACCGCAAACATCCCTTATGTCACACTAAAATACATATTTCAATTCTTGATGCCATCTTGGCACCTGAAGAGGCCTGCTCTAAATAGGATTTCTAAAGGGCAAATTACTTAGATCAGAGATGTGCACACGTGTATGAAGCAAACAGCGGCACAGTGACTCCCGAAGAAAAACCACAACAGTCATTTGGGGAAGGTAACTCAGGTCCATGAAACAGTGCCATACTTCAAGCCAAACTGTGAAGAAAACTTGCTGCAAAGGCCACTGGACACAGAATCCAAATGATACTGTACCCCTCATAGAGCTAAACTAATGAAAAATAAATAAAAGTGTATTCGTAAATTATTAACATATTCAGTTCTCAATACTGTACAATCTTGATGTACCACACAAATGACCACAATCATGTTACATGAACTACTTGAAAGTCCACAAGGAGATTTTGATATTTAATCCAAGCCTAAAAAGATACCTGCTTTTTGTATCATATATATCGTACACAAAAGGTTTGTGGATAAATCAATATTTAAATGTTGATAATATTGCATGGTGCAAAGTTGATACATACGAAGGATGATAAAAATCACTTCAGGCAATCATGATGTTCCAGTTATTTCCAGTAGTGGAATCCCTATAGTGTTTTCAGAATGTTCATGTTTAATGTGTCCCCAGTTTTGAAGAAAATTCCCAGAGAAGGTGTACACATGTCTTTTACTACTTTACAAAATGTGCGAGCACACAACTCTTGAGGAACACGGCTGCCTCTTGAGGTCCATATTACCTTAGTTTTCTCCAGGAATTTCGGTATATATTTTCAATGACATGGTGCCCCAAACTGCTTCCTAAAACACAAACCAAGCGAAATCATTGTAAATTATGACATCATAGTAAATATGTTAAGAGATTCTAAGCAAAATTTCCAGTAAAAAGCGATCTGTCTCATGGGGGTCTGGAGATATGGCTCAGTGGTTAAGAGCACTGACTGCTCCTCCAGAGGACCTGGGTTCAATTCCCAACACCCACATGGCAACTCACAACTGTCTGTAACTCCAGTTCCAGTGAACCCGACACCCATGGTAAAACACCAATGTACATAAAATAGAATTTTTTTTAAAAAATTAATCTACATGGGAAGTAGAAAAAGACAAGATCTCCTGAGTAAATTGGGAGCATGAGGACTATGGGAGAAAGTAGAAGGGGAGGGAGAAAAAGGGAGGGGAGCAGAGAAAATGTATAACTCAATAAAATCAATAAAAATTAAAAAAATAAAAAAATTAATCTATCTCATATATTCACTCAAAAGTTTCTTTACCACACTTAAACTCATGCAGAAGCACTTTTTCTTTGCTTGACTAATTAAAGGAATGATGACATACTTACCTATAGAGGCCAAGTTCCTCAAGGTTTCCTGCATCACATCTTTGTAGAGGTTCTTCTGGGATGGATTCAGCATAGCCCACTCCTCCAGGGAGAAGTTCACAGCCACATCCTCAAAGGTCATTGCCTCCTAAAAGAGCCCATGTACATTTCAACAAGCAAGTGTGAGTCTCATAATACTGTAGAGCTAATCTTATTTCCTAAGAAATTGGCCAGATTCAACGTTCTATGTGCATTTAAGTTATATTGGTCATCACAATTACATTTCCAACACACTAAGAATCTCCCACACAGTGATTCTGATGGCAGACTGGGGCTATCTGATAAAGCTACAACAGGACAGGCCCATCCTTGTTCAGATGGGTTATGCTAAGTTCTCTTTGGCCATTGGTTCAACAGCTACAATGAATTCTGATTACCTAATGCCCCAAACCCAGTCAACACCAGCTGCCCCGAGACTGCATGTTCTTAGTAATGCAGAAGAAGACAACCGTACTTCTCCTGGTATCTGCAACTATTCAGTGGGACGCCTCCCACTTCCCAACTGTAAAGAATAAAGTAGTTTTCTCAATAGTCAATATCAATTACACACTACTTTTATCATATCTATTTTCTCTCAGAATTCTTGTAATGTTTTTAAGCTCATCAGACACAACTTAGAACCCAATATATTCAGAGAACACAGGGATTAGAAGACCAGCATTTATTTATTGCTAGTTCCTGACGAGAGACCCAGAGTGATGAGGTACCTCAAGCTCTTCGTGCAATGCCTTCTTAGCCATGATGCTCTGGATCCAGGAACTATAAGCCAAAGTAGTCTATCCTCCCCCAAGATTTCTTCTTAAGGAAGCTGGAGAGATGGCTCGGGGACCAGGAGCACTTGCTGTTCTTGTGAGGACCAAAATGCTGGCTAGTTTAGGTCAACTTGATACCAGTTAGAGTCATCTTGGAAGAAGTAACCTCAATTGAAAATTTGCCCCTAGGGTTGGGCATAATGGTATACATGTCTCATCCCAGCACTTGAGAGGCAGGGGCAAGCATATCTCTGTGAGTTTGAAGCCAGCCTGGTCTACATAGTGAGTTCCAGGACAGTAGGGCTATATAGTGAGACCCTGTCTCAATAATAATAATAATAATAATAATAATAACAATAATAATAATACTGCCATCAGATTGGTTTGTGGACCAACCTGCCCTATATTTAATTGACTGATAGTTGATGTAGAAGGGTCCAGCTCACTGTGGATGGTACCACCCCTGGGCAGTTAATCCTGGATGCTATAAAAACAGCCAGCAGAATAAGCCACGGGGACCCAGATAGTTAGTGGCATTCCTCCATGGCCTCTGCATCAATTCCTCTTTCTAGGTTCCTGTTTATTTAAGTTCCTGCCCAAACTTCCCGCAGTGACGGGACTGTGGTGGAACTGTGAAATAATACCCCCTTGCTCAAATTGCTTTTGACTATAGTATTTTACCTAACCACATCACACGACTCACAAACCACCCGTAACTCCAGGACCTAATGCCCTCTTCTGGCTTCTCTTGGGGACACACACACACACACAAATAAGTAACAAAATAAATCTTGAAAAACAAAACATTTCTAGGAATTTTGTCACAGCAATTAGACAAAAAACTTAAGACAGGACTGATTATGGGCAGTTGGATGTACTGATACATTAACTGTACCATTTTTATTGGAGAATGTCAGTAGACAATGAAACAAGAAGGATGTCACATGTTCTAGAAGCAGCTCTAACTAGCCACCATGTCACCCGTCAGAGACATGTACAAAATTTTGTTCTTTCTAGAACAAACTTTCAAGAAGTGTGATGGTTAATGTTAATTGTCACTTTATAAAACTTATAATCATATAGGACACAAGTCCCCGGCACACCTATGATTATCTAGATTACATTGCCTGATGTGGGAACAAACATCTTAAGTGTTGGTAGTAGCATTCCCTAGGCAGGGGGAACCTAAACCGTATAAAATGAAGGAGCTAAGCTCCAATATCTACCCACCCATCCGTCCGTCCATCCATCCATCCATCCATCCATCCACCATCCATCCATCCATCCATCCATCCAATTCTTCTTCCTGTTTGTGGGTCACCTGGGCAGTTGATTCGAGCTCCTGACATCCTGACCTCCCTGCCATGTAACTCAGTCAATTCCTCCAGTTACTATTACCAGGGTATTTTATCACGGCAACCAGGAGAGACGAGAAAACTGGTACCCTATATTGGAGCTATTCACATGATAAACGTGACCATCTTAGGGAATGTTTGTGAGAGGAACAGGGAAAAACTTGGTATTTGGGTTAGAAAAGTCCTTGGATACCAAAAGCAGGGTTTAATGGGCAACGTTTGTGGATGTTTAAAAATCAACAATGCTGAGAGCACCTGTAGTTGATAAAAATATCAGTGTCACTAGAGGAAAACCTACTGGGGCACAGTGGAACAATAGGAAAGATGGCATAAGGGCAAAAGCAGAGGCTCCAGCCTGAGGTGGCAGTAAAACTGGGCACTGGCATCCACATGGTATGAGTTTTGAAGGAATGAAGGACATAAGATAGGGAGGTCATATGGAACAGCTGAGGTCTGGGACCACATAGGAAAATCAATGTCCTGCAAAGTGGGCCCTAGAAGTCACTGTGTGGAGCTCTGAAGGTGAAGTCTAAGTGACATTGGAGACCACAGGGTACTGGAAATGCCAGGACCTCGACACCAGCTGCTTGCCAAGGACAGCTATAGGCACAGAGAGAAGCCAGTGTGAGACACAGACTACACATGTTGCAGGTGGCAGCTCTGGGGTGGTGGGGGCTACCTAACCTTTGGAATGTAAACGATTTCACCAGGTTTAGCTGTCAGGCACAGGGATGTAGGATTTGGTGTTTGCCTTGCTGGACTTGCATCTTGCTTTGGTCCGATCATAACTTGACCCAATTCTTCCATTTTACAATAGGATTGCTTGCTCTGTATCATTATAATTTAGAATTATGTAGAGCTACAGAGACTGCTCAGCAGTTAAGAGCACTGACTGATCTTTCAGGGGGACCCAATTCAATTCTCAGCACCCATATGGCAGCTCACAACTATAACTTCAAGTTCCAGAGGGATATGATACCTTCACACAGACATACATGCAGGTAAAACATTGCTGCACACAAAAGAAAAACAAATAAGTAAATAAATGTATATATTGGATGTATGTAACTTGTTTTCTATTTTATAAAAGCTCACAGTTAAGATACTTTGGAATCTCAAATTATAAATATGCTTAATGACTATGGGCAGTTTGGGTGTTGGGATAAACGCATATCACATTATAACATGGTCAGCAGTCTGTGGAGATAAAGAATGGAAGGTTATGGCTTAAAAGTGGCGATAAGTCTGAGTGTCAAGTTGACAAGGGCTAGGTTAATACTCACTATCAACTTGACAGACTGTAGAATCGCCCAAGAGACCCAGGCTCCCGTGAGGGGTATCTAGACTGAGGTTAGCCTTTGAGGATGTTTCTGAGAGATTATGTTGATTCCATTAATCGGTGTAGGCACACCCACCTTGATGGTGGGTAGGGTCACTCCCTGGGTAGAGGATTCTGGACCACATAAAGTGAAGACAGTGACCCGAGAATCCGCATTTACCCATCACTTTCTGTTTCCTGACTGGACGACATGCGCGTCTACTTCACCTGCTTGTTGCCCTGATTTCCCACCACAGCAGACTGTACTGTAATCTGTGAACCGAATGAGCCCTCCCCCTTAGCTTGCCTGTCACGTTCTTATTTAATCACAGCTGTAGGAAAAATAACTAATGAATATTATACATATATTTTATCAAAGCAGTTGAAATCAATGTCCAACAGTTATTTATTATTTAAGTAAGGAAATAAAAGTTTGCCTAAAATGAACAAAAGACTGAAACAACAATGACCATGGCACTAAGCTATGGCCACAAATGAACTGCATGAAGGAAATACAGTCTTTACCCAGCAATCTTGAAACACAAGAACTGATTATTTAGAGAAGGCAGACCAGATAAAAGAATCACAGCATCTGTACACATAAGGCAAAGACAAACCAGCACCAACTTGGGAACATGCACTCTATTTCCCTTCACTCCATGGACAATAATCAAATATCCAGTCATAGTCAGCCTGACTAAAATAATGGGCAACAATAATTCCAGCGGGCTGGAGAGATGGCTTAGAGGTTAAGGGCACTGGTTGCTCTTCCAAAGGTCTTGAGTTCAGTTTCCCAGCAACCACATGGTGGCTCACAACCATCTGTAATGAGATCTGGCGCCCTCTTCAGGTGTGCAGGCATACATGCAGGCAGAACACTATATACATAATAAATAAATACATCTTTAAAAAATAATAAGCCCAGCTCACTTGGGAAACTAAAGCAGGAGATTTAGGGTTCATGGGTACTCTGGGTTATATATGCCACAAATAAGCCTGAAGGAAAATTGCTGGGACACCCCCCCCAAAAAAACCCAAAACAACAACAACAACAAAAAAAAACAAATAACAAATAGTAGGTTGGCAAAATGGGTGGGTCAGTGGGTAAAGGTGCCTTCAACCAGTCTGACGACCTGAGTTTGACCCCAGCACGAACCCGCACGCTAGAACTAGAGAACTGAAGCTGTTCTCTGACTTCCCCACTTCACAGCACGTAACACACACAACACTTCGTAAAAACACAAAGCAACTGAAAAACATGAAACAACAACAACAAAACAAGTGACAAAAGTCTGTCTGAGCTCAGCAACGAACAAAGCCTTCTAGTTGAACCATGCATTTGTCCCATTATGTCATACAGGGGAATTGAGTGCTAACTCCTGTTTCATAGGTCACTTCGTTTTGTCCCTATGTCTGATGAGACTGAAGAAAAACAAGAAAATGAACCCAGTAGGGAGAAGAGAAATGGACACAAATGTTAAACATATTTTAGAACAGATATAAGTGGGGGATGAATATATTTTCTTGGTGTTTTGAATGACATGTATGTATGTATTATGTAATGTCTGGCAGGGGACAGAGAGGCGGAGAGAGGGAGGAGGGCGAGGAGAGGGACCTCCAGTACCATGTACACCTGTGGAGCTCAAAGAATAACTTCCGGGAGTTGCTTCTCTCCTTCCACCATTGGTCTCAGGGATGTAATTAAGGTGTTCAAGCTGGTGGCAAATACCTTTACTCACCAAGTCAACTCATAGGCCCCGGGCTGTGTTTTTAGTAGGACGTGGAACAGAAATGTAAAATGCTTTTAGTGAGGAAGAATTTTAAATTGTGAATGTTGTATTGGGTTGTTATATATATGTGTGTATATATATATATATATTGTAATATGGTTACTTATATTTATACCTACATATATGTGTGTGTTGTGTATGTTTGTATGTGTATAATGAGAAAGTCGAGAAATTATTGGGGCCTGGGAAAGAAAGCATGAGGAAAAAACTAGGCCATTCAAGGTCTGGTCTGCCATTTCTACTTACGGGGTCAGGAAAAACCAGGCAGCAATGACAAAGCCAAAATTGCTTACAGGAACATCACATGTTTTCTTTAAGACATCTTATCAAAGAGAATACATTGGGCTAAGTAGGGTCAAAACCCGTAACGCCTTCTCATTGCCAATTTAAACAAACCCCTTTACAACTTTGTTTACAAAATAAAAGTCTTTATACTCTTAACCTTGTTCTAAACTATACTCTTTGAGGAATGCTTAAGAAATGGTGGAGGGGGGCATGGAGAGGTGGCTAGGAGGTCAAAAAGACTGGCTGCTCTCCCAGCGGAAGGGTGCGATTCCCTCTGCTCCCACCATGGCTAACAACTGTCCAACTCCAGTTCTAGGGGATCCAAAGCTCTTCTCTGGATTCCGTGGACAGCGCCCACATGTGGTATACATACATACATATATGCCAGAGATGCACTCATAAATACAACATTAAATTTAATTTTTTTAAAAAAGTTGGTGAATGCTGTAAATCTTCATAATACTTGGAAATATAACTTGAAAGCTACCAAGATTTCATATATATATATATATTTTTTTTTTCAGGGCACTTACCTGAGACTCACCTTTGAGAAGCCCATGTCCAGTCTCATCCCCTGAACATCTCTCTAATAATCTGTGCTATTATCTAAGTTTTAAAATGTCTCCAATTTGCCTTTATATTGGTTTGCTCCAAAATCTATCTAATAGGTTGACGTTTAATTGCCTTTTCAGAAGATATAACCACAAGAAACCAGTAGCCTCCAGCAGATAGCTAAGCTTACTCTATATAAGTTTGAAAAAGAATTATATTTTACTAAAAAGTAAAAGTAGCACAGCTTCCACTTTTCAGATAAATTCAATTTTATGTATGAGTGCTCTCTCTGCATGTACACCTTTATTCCAGAAGAGGGCACCAGATCCCATTATAGATGGCTGTGTGCCTCCATGTGGTGCTAGGAATTGAACTCAGGACCTCTGGAAGAGCAGCCAATGCTCTTAACCACTGAGACATCTCTCCAGCCCTTTCAGGAAAACTCTACCATATAATTGCACCATTAGCATATGGCCACTTGCATGCGTGCTCTCTCTCCTCCATGGGACAAATAAAATCAGAAGGGTTTTTTTTTTTTTTCCAAGTTTCTTGCCACTGCCAGTGTAGAAGTATAAAAATAAAAATATCATTTGAGAACCAATGTGTTACTGCCTCCTTGGAGAGCAGGGGGAGAGCCTGTGTTTTCAAGATTTAAGCTTTACAATACAGGTTATCACCTGGCTCCCCACCAGAACTTGAGGGTAAGACCCTATTGCTGAAGATACCTCATACTTGAGCCACAAGAAATGGAGAAATCAACTTGGTACTCATATGCCGATGGTGCTGTGTAGGTTGCTGGGGAAAGGTCTTAGCCAGCTGTGAACTCTCTGATATAATGACTTGCTTGGCACGTGCCCACTGGTGCAAGGGTGGCACCAATGTCATGGTACCAACCAACCACTTTCTGACTGGATTCACAGAGATGGAACGCACAGCTGGTTCTATACACTGGACCCAAAAACTCACAGCTGGCTAGGACACAGGCCTTAGGGGAGAATGTAAAGCTAATACTCTGCTAAATGGACAAAATGTCAAACTGCTTTCCAAAAATGTACGATTATAGCAATAATGAATGCAGCTTTCAATGCTCATCAAAGAAGCCTGCCTCTCACTGAAATTAGTACAGAGACCCACAATTACTCAAAATGCAGAGATAAGTGACTGTGGAAAGTTTAGCTTTCCACAAATGAGACATCTACATCACATCTTGCTCCCCACAAACCTCACTATGGGAGAGGGGGAAGGAAACACGTAGGAGTCAAAGGTCAGAGAGGACTACTGGGAATCATTCTTTCCAGACACGACAAGGCTGCTGCTCCCATGAACTCAGAGCAGCTGTGGTTGCTTGTTTGCACAAGAACAGCACGAGATTAAACTAGTCGAATTTCAGAATAAATGGGGAGGGGCTAACAGAGGCACTACTGGCAGTTAACGGCTGATGGAGGAGAGAGAATCAGTTTTCTTAAGAGATGTTGTTCCTGCTAGGTTGTTGGTGCATCAGCGGATGGCCTCACACCCCCAAACACACTGGAAACACTAATTAAATGCAGTGGATTGGAGAGGACATGAAGCTGGGAGACATGTATAGTGCGGTAGGTCCGGAAGGAGACTGGGAGGGGAAATCTCCAAATACACTGAATACATGTGATGCACTTTCAAAGAATGTAAGTATTCAAATTTTCTACGTTGCTGACATTTAAAGTCATATCTATAAAAGCACAGATTTTGGAAGCACCATTTAATGATAGGAAAAGATATGCAAGGGCTTAAGAATTAGCTGAGCTGTTAAGAGTCCTTCATTTTCTTCCAGAGGACTCTAGTCTGGTTCCCAATACCCAAGTTTGGCAGCTCACAACCACCGGTAACTTCAGCTCCAGAGAATATGACGCCCCCTTCTGGCCATCTTGAGTATCTAGACATGCTTAGTAGACATTCTCTCTCTCTCACACACACAAACAGATAGATAAAAATAAAACAAAAAATGAACAGTTTAGCTTATGACTGACAAATGACAAATCTAAATGAATGCTATAACATTTTATATTTAAATCTGTGAATGGCTATGAGCATATTTCCTGTCTACACATGCTTACATTTCTATATTACATGTATGAAAACAAATTGGCTCATAATAAGTGTTCACATAAATTAAGACAGAGGCTAGAGTGATGGCTCAGCAGTTAAGAACACAGGATGCTCTTCCACAGGACCTAGGTTTGATTCCCAGCACCCATGCGGCAGCTCACAACTCGCTATAACTCCTGTTCCAGGGGAGTCGACATCCTCACACGGACAAACATGCTGGCAAAGCACCAATGCACACAAAACAAAATAAGTAAATTATAACAAAAGAAATTAGACAGTTCACTTAGTCCAAATATTTCCTAGTTCATGGCGTGACTAAAAAATTTCAAGCTCAACATCCTGACTCTGGTAATCATGACAGACGAAGCTTGGCCAACAGTCCCAATATGCCAATTAGAGACACAGTAACGAGAGCCAAAGAACAACAGTTCTATAAATCAATCTGGCTCTGTCAGGGAGAACAAATCAATGGGCTTGATGATTCCAGATCTGGCATCTGGCTTGTACTTCTATTTAAAAAAAAATTGTAATAACTAAAAAAGAGAAAGGTTTAAGATGGAAGGCAAGCTGTACACAGAGACAGTCCTAACCAGGGTGGTTATCCGTCTGCTCTGTTCGCCAGCCCATCACTGTCTCAGGTCTTTTTCTGTAAGGTGGCCAAAAGGTTCCCATGAGGTTCTCTGGAGCAGACGGAGAGGCAAGAGCAGGGCCTGAGCTCTAAAGTGATGAGTGTGGACCTGCCTGGGAGAGGTGATCTCACAGCTTTCTGGGGATGGAACTGGTTTCAAAGCAGGAGCCAGGCTACAGACTCTCCGATTCCCAGGCAGGAGAGGCAGGGGAGTCTATGGGCCAGTGAACGGGGGCGGGGAGCAGGATGTGTGGCCACTAGTACCCACTTTGATGTAAGCTCACTTCTCCGGGTGAGAAATTCTGGCAAGTTTGTTAGCGAGTGACTTGGACAATGTCTTAGTAAGGTGGATGTCAGTATCTGTGAGAGGGGAAGGTTGCTGGAGACAGTACTTCCTAAGCAATAGCTGGATCCTAACATTATGTTCTTTCAGCAGCCAAGATGAGTGGGGTGGGTGGGCAGGAGTCCAGGCTCATTGGCATTCTTGGGCCCCCGTCTTCCCCCCTGGCCTAAGTGACTAATGAATGTATGTTCTAGGTGCTGCCAGAAGCTGGTAAATGGTCGAGACAAAGCAGCCAGCACGTATAAAGAAAACTGAGAGCTCTAATTGGAACTGACTGTGCCACCTTCTACCACCACACCAGGCTCTAGAGCCTTCTGTGAATGTCTGATACACTTGCTCACTTCTGTCTCCTTTAGAGTTAGAAAAGCCCTGTTTCCGGAAACCATGGGGAACTCTGCAGACCTAACACGTAGGGCTTTCTCCTAATGCAATACTGCATTCACATACTGTAAGGCCTGCCTCTACCAGGACTCTGCCTTGTAAAATAATGTGTGGACACGAGGGAAGTGGCTCGGAAGGTAAAGGCAGGAGCCTGGTGATATGAGCTCAATCCTGGGAACCCACGTAAAGGAGAGAAAGTATCTCATGAAGTTGTTCTCTGACCTACAAAATGCAAGAAGTGGTAACATGCAGGAAAACACACACACACACACACACTCACACACATACACACCCTATGCATTATTATTGTGCATACAATAGTGATAAATACAATTTAAAACCAGAAAGCAACGTCTAGAAACACCTGAGGGCACTGGCAGTTATGACAGAGCCCCATGTCATCCATGCATGTGCATCTCCCTTTCCAATGAGTTTGGGAATGTCAGAAGAAAGTACAAATTCAGGGTTTATTGCTAGCACTATGATCCCCTGACTTACGGGTACAGGTCATGGAATTTAGAGGAAGCTTCCCTTGGATCTATGAGACTTAAAGGAGAAGCAGGAGAGACAGCGAGGAAGACACGGCAGACTGATCCCTGATACTCTATACCGTAGGGACTATCTGCTTTCCTACAGAGTCAAGCCAAGGGTGACTCCATTTTATTAAGCAACAACCCCGACCAAAGTGACTCCAATTTGAAGTTATAAGAACCCCTCCCCCAAAAGGAAGGCAGCACAGTAAACAACCAGGATCTGGTGCCAGGAGGGACAAACTGACAACATCAACGATGACACTTGAAAATATACCAAACCATATTAGACACAGTACGCAAATCTGCTTATCAGTCATACCCGCATGAAACCCCCACACCCGGAACCACAGAAGTTACATCCCAAGACAAAGTACAGCAGGCAACCAGTCAGGAGCCAGTTCTTGGACTCCAATTCCAGTGCGGTTTCTCCTGTCCAGGTCACTCAGCCAACTTAAATTGACTTACTCACGCCCACTGCATATACATTTGACATCTGTGCCCGCGCTGCTAGGACATCACTTTTGGTCCCCTATAGACTTTTCTTTGCATCTGTCTCTGCTCAAAGCCTCCTACTTCAGAACAGACTTTCAACTCCACCACTCCAGCTCTTAGCCATTCTGTGACCTGCACATTTGTGTGAAATGATCATCTTATCTGCCAGTTAATGTCAGTAATTAGACTGTTATATAAGAACCCGTGACTGCCAAGCAAAATCGGGCATACTCGGCTAATTGTTAACAACAAAACAGACATAATTTGTGAAATTATTTTTTTTTAATCCGATAAATTCTGGCACTGGAAACACTTCAACTTGTCCCTCAGGACCCAAGGTCACCACACCCTGCCCCCCCCCCAACACATACACTCACACGCACGAACCCCAGAGTCCCGAGTGTCACCGCGACACTGCTGCCACCGCCCAGGCTGCGGAGTCGAGAGGCTGTGGGTGCTCAGATGCCTACAGAGGCCGCAGCAGCGAGCGCTCAGCGAGGGACAGGACCGCGACTCTGCCTGCTGACCCAGCTCCACCCAGCGGGACCCGGGCAGCGCGGCCCAGCGGAGCCCGATGAGTCGCAGACGCAGACTCAGCTGCCCGGGGAGGCCGCGTCCCCACTGTCGCCTCCGCTTGCAACAACCTCCTCCCCACACCCGGGACGCCCGGCCGCACGCACCATTTTCGGTCACTGGGGGGGTCTTCGTGTTGTCCAGCGGCTCCTGTAATCAGGGGATGAGACGCAAACACTGGGGGCACAACCTGCGGGTCTCTCTCCAGAGAAGACACAAACGCCTAAAATGGCTGGACGGGAAGTGGCATCCCCGTTGCTGTACCCGCCCTCTCTCAACATCTGAAAGCCTCATTGGATGGTTTATGCAGCTAAGCAACTTTTCTTATTGGCCAGTGAGTCACATGCCCATCTCCTAATGCTTAAATGACAGAAAAAACATCCTCTAGCGTGTACTGTGGCGCCAAATCTCAAATCCCAGCATAAGCTTTCCTGGGGTACCATCCGGCTGTGAGATTCCCAAACTCCCTAGCTTTACATGTGAAAGGGGTGAAACGCTATATTTTACATGGAATTAAAAATAGGTAGAAGCCTATTTAACAAGGCAAAGATGTCAGCTAAATTCTATTTGCATGTGTGAAAAACGCCATAACAAAGAAGAAATCCAATGTGAGTTATTTCTATCTGGGCAGCTTCTAGCGTTCCCTTTGCGGTCGATGTTTGTCACCAGTGGCTGGCAGTTTACACGTTCTGTTTACCTCTTTGAAAATCTCTCTTGCACCCACGCACCTCACATAGTCATTTCTATAGCAAAACATTTTGGGAATGAAGTGACACCGAGTCATTAGAAACATATCAAGGATTCTTCGGGAATTACAAGGGTTGGACAGGTCCCAACGAAGTTGCACGGCACCAAACACAAACCAGGAAAATACCACACAGGCGACTTCCAGGGCAAACATTCCTGCTCCCAAGACCACCAGCCTGACTGCAGGGAGCTAAGCTCACAAAGAACGAGTAAAAGATAGAAAGGAAGCCTTGATGAGAGGAGAAGATTAAATTTGAAAGGCTACTCTGGTGGTAAAGGCTTTGTAGCAGGCTAGTGACGAGCAATGAGCAGGCACGAGATTCTGCGTGCGACAGCTGACGCGTTCAGGCTGGGAGCAAGATCCGGAGAGCCCCAGACGGAGGTATTTTAAGTGACCTTTTAGAAAGACGGGAGCAGAGAAAGGAAAGCTGAGAGACTTGAGGCTGCAGTCAGCAAGCTGACTAAATGGCATCTTTACTTAAGAATTAAAATATATATATATATATTGCTTGTCTGTGTGCCTGCCACACGTATGCAGGTGCCGAAAGAGGCCAGAAGAGGGCACTGTATCCCCGGAGATGGAGTTACAAGCCTCTGACTGTGGGTACCGGTACAGAATTTGGGTTCTTTGCAAAAACAGTACTGCACTCTAAACCACAAGAGAGACAGTTCTCCAGCTCCCCACATTTATACTTCAGAACCCATCCAGCTCTCTCTCCTCCGCATTTATAAGAGTCTTATTTAATATCTACGGTCAAATTAGCAGGCCAGTTGTGTCCTGCTCGGTCTCTTTTTCCTTTTTCCCCTCTACTCCTGGTCTCTATTCTATCCGTATTATTTTCCTTTTCAGAGACTTGCCCAAAAAACACAGGCTGGCCGGGCGGTGGTGGCGCACGCCTTTAATCCCAGTACTCGGGAAGCAGAGGCAGGCGGATCTCTGGGAGTTCGAGGCCAGCCTGGTCTACAAGAGCTAGTTCCGGGACAGGCACCAAAGAGAAACCCTGTCTCGGGGGGAAAAAAAAAAAAAAAAAACACAGGCTGGCCTGGTTTTCACGGTTTCTGGTCTCAGTCTTCTAAAGGCTGGTTACCTGATTATATTTCTTTGCTCATCCCCCTACAAAATTACCCCCTTTTCACTCTCATGGCCCTACTGTCTCCTTGTGTTTACCTTTTCCTTGTCTACTGTTTGTCATCAACAAAGGAATAACCGCCACCTTTATTTATTTTTATTTTCCTTTCTATTCATTCCTAACGTAACAACTGATACACTTGGGCAAAAAGAAGTCACAATATTCCTCCTTATCCTAGAATGATTGTCATTTGAAAGATGATAAATTTGTTTTTTTCTAGATATTCTTTTATTTTAATGTATTTTCATAGTGGGCCTACCCATGGATAGTATTTTTGCAGACACTGTTTTCCATTTAGCCTGGTGACCCAAACGTTATAGAGCAGAGACAAACAGAGTCAAACAAAACTTCAACCCTGCTACATCCTGAAAATTGCACAGAATTCCATTTGAAAAAAAGCAATGTGATTAAACACGCACACGTAAACACACACACACACACACACAACCAATGATTTAACCAAAAAAAAAACCCTTGACGCAACACAATTCCACCAAAAATATTAATTCCATTGTAAAGACCTCCAAATCAAGTGAATCAGATGAAATCTTAGAAGTAATGATTTTACACACACACACACACACACAGAGAGAGAGAGAGAGAGAGAGAGAGAGAGAGAGAGAGAGGCCAGAAATGCCTTATAAATTCCAACAGAACACAAACACAAGTTAAGGAAAAAACAGACGAAGGAGAAATCTCGTGGCCTTCGGGCCTCACTCACTGACAACTTACAAAGAGGTCTCTCATCATTGGCATAGCCAATGAGTAGTCAGTTGAAGAATGCTAAGTGATGGATCTAATCCTGTGTGGCCATTGTTTGGGGTCCACGGAGCAGGGACAGCAATACTCCAGATACTCCAGAGAAGTGGATTGCTTTAGTACTGGAAATCAGATTACTATAGTTACAGAAATTGTTCCAATTCAACCAAAATTGAGGTTCTTTACAAAATGTCATGGCCCTGGCTAGTATCTTGGGCCCACTTTTTGCTAAGAAACACAAACTGACCTCTGGAGTCAGTACTACACACAGGTAGTGTGACGTTTCAATAGAACTGCGAGATACCAGCTTATCTGCAAAGGTGGAATACCAGTTGTGTGAAAACAGAGCATACGTTAGGTAACAGAAAAACTATAGGTATGTGAAAAGTTCACTTTTGGTTTCCTGTGTTTAATACATGTACATTAAACCCCCACAGGCTCACATATTTGAAGGCTTAGTCACCAGAAAGTGGCACTATTTGAAGGGATTCGAAGAATTAAGAAGTATGGGCTTGTTTGAGGAAGGGTGGGCTTTCAGGTTTCAAAAGCCCATGCCAAGCCCAGAGTCTCTCTCTCTCTCTCTCTCTCTCTCTCTCTCTCTCTCTCTCTCTCTCTGCCTTTGGATCAGGATATAAAACCCTCAGCTACTCTTCCAGCATCATGTCTGTCTGCATGCCACCAGGCTCCCTGCCATGTTGATAATGGAGTGACCCCGAAACTGTAAGCAACCCCACAATTAAGTGCTCTTTTTATGAGAATTGAGTTGGTCATGGTGTCTCTTTACAGCAATAGGACAGTGACTGAGACATTCATTACACTAACATCCTACCTCTGGAGTCATTCCCACATCGAATCACTCACCTCGTTACTAGATACTGATGTGCTGTGGAATAGTAACTGGGCAAAGACGTGCTGCATGTGTTTAGGCTGCAGGATATGACTTTAGCTGTGTAGAGTGTGTCACTTTTGTTTATGCTGCATTTGTTGAGTCATGGAAAGATGTGTTGCATTTGTTTCGCCTCGCCTAAGGCACCTGTTTGGTTTAAGAAAGAGCTAAACAGCCAATAGCTATGAAGAAGAAAGGATAGGCAGGGCTAGCAGAAAGAATAAAAAGGAGAAAGCTAGCCTCGGGAGAAAAAGAATGAAAGGAAGAAGGAGAAAATGAGGGAGATGCCAGACAGACAGACATAGAGAAGCAGTGAAAATAGGGTATACAGAAATAAGAAAGGTAATAAGCCCTGAGGCAAAGGGTAAATAAAGAGAAAATGGTTAAGGTAAAAGAGCTAGCCAGAAACGTGCCTAAGCTAGGCCAAGCACTCAAAACTAACAGCAATGATTTGGGAGCTGGTTGGTGGTCCAAAAGAAAAAGCGTGGTACACTAATACCCATCACTTTCAACCTTATCCGGTATCCTCAAGCCAAGGTTCATCCTCTTCATTGTACTTTCCTTCCATCAGTGATAGGATGTCTATCTTCATGTCCCATACTTTCCTTCTATCAGTGAGCAAAGCCTTGATGATCGGATATCTATTTTCATGCCCCATTGTTAAAAAAAAAATCAACCCATTAGACTGGTTGAGATGGCCCACGCCTTTAATCCCAGCATTCAGGAGGCAGAGGTGAGTGGATCTCTTGAGATAGGGGCCTTCATGTTTCATACAACAGAAACTAAACAAACTTCTAAACATGGCCTGATCTGTAAAACATAATGTATCCTGCTTAGGGGTAAAAAGAAAAAGTTATCATTTGCTATTCTGAAAGCAATCTTAAAATAGTTCAACCTTAACAGGACACTGTATCCAACAGGCTTCTCTAGAGGAATGGAATTAAGTTGGCTTTAAAGTAGTGACAAAGGCAGAATGACCAGGGAGCTGATAACGTGGTCATTCCTAGGTCCTTAAGGCTGGAGCCATAGCATTCGGGGTTGGTAGTTAGGTGAGTGGGTGGAGGGTCTGTGGGTGGTTAGTGGATGGGTGGATGGGCTTCAGCAGTCCCAAACGGGCACAATGAGCCTAGAAGTTTCCTGAACTACCCTGTTTCCCTAGTCACAACTGTGGGAGATCACAGGGACTCCATTCCATCTTGACTTAAGGTCAAAGAGTTCAAGCTTCTTCTTGTTCCTTGAGGCCAATTAACAGAATGTTTGGCCAAAGGCATTGTCTCAGATGTCTTGCTCCTTAAGGCCAAAAAAAAAAAAAAAAAAAAAAAAAAGGATATTTGGCCAAAGAGGAGGTTACTAGATGTTTGTTCCTTGAACCATGGTAAGGAAGTCTTTTGCCATCCCCTTTTTTGCTATAAAAGTGTTATGAGGAATAAATTCAGAGCTTCTGCAGTATTCACAGAGACCCTCCCGATTCCATCTCCTGTCCTTTGTCTCTTTCATAATCCTCTCTCCCCTATTCAGGTACTGTTCGACAGGTCGGCTGGCCCCGACACACAATCAAAGTTTGGAAACACTAGATCTGATATCTGTGAAGTAAACATCTATAGCCACAGGACAACAGAACTAGGTAACAAGATGGATAGACAAGTGAGCAAAAGGCAAGATGTTCTTCCTTCTGCCATATCCCTTTCATCTGAACCAGCAGGTGCCACCCACAAGTGGGGTGGGCGATCTTCCCACATCAGTCAGGAAAACCAGAACAGTTCTTCCAGTGAGGGTCCACACTCAGGTGCTTCTGTTATGTGGCAAGTTGACATTAAAATCAACCATCGTAGACAGGCAAGAAAGTATGTTAGAAAATAAACACCGAGAGAGAAATAAACATAGTTGCGGAGGCCCAAAAATGTAAGCCTATTTCCACCTTGTCTGAAGGTCAGAGAGTTTTAGCTTAGGGTTGAAAGCACTCACTACGTTTACAAAGGACTTGTGCTCAGCTCCCAGCACCTATGTGACTGTCACTAACCACCTGTAACTCCAGCTCCAGAGGGTCTGAGGCATCTTCACAGCAGCGCAGGCACAGCACACGTCACACACATTCACACCGGCAGGCAAAGCATTCATACACATGGGATAATACAAATAAGTCTATTTTTAAAAAAAAAAAAAAAGTTTGTATGTAAGGTGTATTCTGTGGTAGGATCTTTCATTTCTGTAAAAGGAACAGTAGTACTGGGAGACTTTCTAATATTACCTACATACAAAGAGTCTCTCCAGTGTGGCTTTTTAAAACATTGCTATGGGTATAGGTAATCTGTCTGCATGGTTGTCTGTGTACCACGAGCATACAGAGGCCACTGAAGTCACAAGAGGACACTGGACCCCCTGGAACTGAAATTAGACACCGTTGTAGGTTTCCATGTGGCTGCTGGGAATCAAACCTAGGTCCTCTGGAAGAGCAGCCAGTGTTCTTAGCTGCTTAGTCGGCCCTCTGGTCCCCTCTGGTTGACTTACACGTATTTGGAGGAACCAGGGAAGAGGAGGAGACTTTCTACACTGAAAATGTACACAAGGTTCCTCTGCAGTTGGATCTCTGTCATGTCTTTCCCACAATCTGAGACTACAAAATGATTTCAGCATCACTCACGTTCAGAGGGCTTTTCTTTAGTATGATTTTGTTCATGGACTTGAAGAAAACTTTTAGAATACAAATCATTTCCCTGTTATTTTTTAAAAAGTTTCCCCTCCATGTGGCGGTTTCAAGTTTGCTGTTTGGTTAGGTTTTGTTCTGTTCTTAAGAAATCAGCATGATAGGCTCTCACCCATTGGTAGCAAAAAGGTCCCACTTTTATTCAGGGTGAATTCATGTGAAAGCAACCGGCCATTTAAAAAGCGTAAGCACTGCTTTCAAAGCTGGGGATGTAAACCTCGGAGAATGACTGTCTTCATAAGAGATATTAAGTAACGGATTTCCCATATCGTTTACATGAAGATAGTCTCTACTCAGTGTTGAGTTCTTTCATGCTTTTTTTTTTTTTAGGTGACTAAGAGACCTAAAGCCTTTCCCACACCCCTTACACTCATGGGGTTTCTCACTACTGTGCATCAACACATGGTACTGAAGAGAACTTAAGTGGGTGAAGGTCTTCCCACACTGCTTACACACACGAGGTCTCTCTCCAGTGTGAATCATTTTGTGTTTCCGCAAAGCACTCTCGGAACTCAAAACTTTTCTCACATTGTGAGCACACATGTGGGTTATCGCCGCTGTGTATCTTTTCATGACTTCGAAAAGAAGTCGAACAGAAGAACCCCTTCCCACACTGTTTGCACTCATAGGGTTTGACACCACTGTGACTTACTTCATGCCTTCTTAACTGATACAAAGACACGAAGGCTTTTGTGCACTGCTTACGCACATAGGGCTTCTCACCAGTGTGACTTCTTCCATGGATTTGTAGGGAACTGAGACGAGTGAACGTCTTCCCACACTGCTTACAAACATGGGGATCCACACCACTGTGGGTTACTTTATGTTTTCGAAACTGATTCCAAAGCTTGAAGGCATCCCCGCATTCCTTACATACATAGGGTTTTCCCCCCAGTGTGAGTTCGTTCGTGTATTTGAAGATAAGTAGAAGTAATGAAGGCTTTCCCACACTGCTTACATACATAGGGTTTCTCTCCGGTGTGGATTCTCGTATGTCTTTGAAGGGAAGCAGAGCGAGAAAAGTTTTTCCCACACTGATTACATGCATAGGGCTTCTTACCGGTGTGGATTATTTTATGCCTTAAAAGAGAATTGAAACGAGTAAAAGTTTTCCCACACAGTTGACACTGATGGGGACTCGAGCCAGCGTGGTGAATCTTTTCATGTCTTAGAAGAGAACTGGAATAAGCAAAGGTTTTCCCACACTGCTTACATGTGTAGGGCCTCTCGCCAGTGTGGATCCTTTCGTGGACTTGTAGGGAACTGGGAAAAGGGAAGGCTTTCCCACACTGCTTACATGCAAAGGATTTCTTTGCACGGTAATGTTGTTCATGGCCCTTTAAGGATCCAAGAGAAGTAAACGTTTTCCCACACTGCTTACATTCGTGGTGCTTTTCTTCAGCAGGAGTGCTTTCCTGAGTCTGACCGATTCTTACGTCTTCATTAGCCTGCTCATTTTTATTAGATTTCTCTTCCGTGTCAGCACTTTTATGCTTCTGAAAAGATGGGGGAGAGCTGGAGGTGTCCTCTGACTCTTTATTATTATCCAGCTCTTTTCCATGTTCCCGAACTTCTTTTGTTTTCTGCCCTGGCCTAGGTTTTAGCCGCACACGTAGAGCTAAATAGCCGATGACTACATTTACACACCCATTTCTTCCACACATATGTACTCCTGGGTAAAGTGTGTGGTCCACAGTGCCCTCTGTAGAGAAGCTGATGATGTCTGCACACTCATGATCTTCCTTACACTCGTGGAGTTTTTCCGCCAGCTGGCATCTGTAAGAAATAAAAAACTAGATTGCTAAGTGTTTGATTATTAATAGTAGAAATACTGGTTCTGTGTACTGTAGGAATTCAGAACATGTATTCACGGAATGCTATGCAGCATGATCTAAGGATAGCTGTAACAACAGCAATGGTATTATAAACACAATGAGAAGTTATATTGTGTCCACGTTTGGCAAACATTGAATGTATATGTCACATTTAAATACCCATTTCAGTACTCAATATTGTGCACCATTTGATGTCCAGTACTGATGATGAAAATGATGTTGCCTTTTGAACTACTTGAATGCTATGGTAGTTTGAATAAAAATGGCTCCCATAAGCTGATAGGGAGTGGTACTATTAGGGGATGTGGCCATGTTGGAGGATGTGTGTCACTGGGGATGGGTTTTGAGGTTTCAGATGCTCAGTCTAGACCCATGTGTCATGCTCTTTTTTTTTTCCTGCGGCCTGTGGGTCCAGATGTAGAACTCTCAGCTCCTTCTCTAGCACCATGCTTGGCTACAAAGTCCATGTCAATAATGGACTAAACCTCTGAGCCTGGAAACCAGACCCAAATACATGTTTTCCTTTATAAGTGCCATGCTCATGGTGTCTCTTCACATCAGTAGAAACCTTAAGACAAATGCCCATATTGAGTTATCTTTCTGTTTTTTATTTACTTATTTATTTATGAGATAAGATTTCACTTTGAAGTGCTGGCTGGCCTGAAACACACTTAGTAGACCAGGCTGACCTCTAAATCAGAGATTCACCTGCCTCTGCTTCCCATGTGCTGAGATTAAAAGTGTGGCCCCACACCTGTCTATACGTATTCTCTCAACAGTTAGTTCCAGTCTAAAAGTGACATCTTATTTTGTTTCATATGTACCTCACACCGAAGATGGCAGATAAACTGATATTTCATATTCCATATTGTATATCGTATAAAGTTTATACATGTGAAGTATGATATCGTATGTATGCATGTATCGTGATACTCAAGTTGTTTTCAGTGCTTGAGTATACGAGATGCTCTTATTGATGACTTGAAACATATTGGAAGTTTCGGAGACAATTTCCTGAGATCAACTCAGATTGAAACTTGACATATTTGTCTCCTTTACCTTTTTGTAAAATAGCCTATGGCACCATAAACATTGAGGAACCTGAATTACCTTAGCTTTATGCCAGAATTTTCAATCTTTTGCTGTTTCCTTATGTTTCCTAAAATACAGATCAAAATGAATCATTATAAATCATGATACTACGGGAAAAACATTAGTAGATTCCAACTAAATTCATGGTATAAAGTAGCCCATTTCATATATTCACCCTGTCACTTTTCTTCTTTTTTTAGGGGCAGAATGTGAACAGTCTCCCACTACCACAAATTATACAGTCAACTTTTCTACATTTGGGAAAGTCGCAGGAGTCAGCAAGAATGGACTAAGAAAACCAGCTTCCTGATCTTGGTGTCTCCCCGGCCAAGTAAGCATCCCCAAATCTTTACCGTACTTTAGTTCCTGCAGCAGCGATGATCCAGAAGCACTTTTGTTTGACTGGCTTATTATGAGAATGGATGTCTTTACCTATAGAGCTCATGTTTCTCAATATTTCCTTCAGCACATCTTTGTAGAGCTCCTTTTGGGATGGATCCAGCATGGCCCACTCCTCCATGGTGAAGTGCACAGCCACATCCTCAAAGGTCACTGACTCCTAAAAGTGCACATACACACATACATTTCCACAAGGGTGAACTTCACAGTATCAGCTGTCTAGACTTTATAAGAAGTTATTGTGACACTATGTTCATATATGTTCAAGATGTCTTGCTCAGCACACAGTTACTGTTCATACATACTAAGATTCTCCAATATAGTAATTCTGACAGTAGATTGGAACAATGAGTAAAGCAACAGCAGAATAGGACCACCTTTGCCCCCATAAGCTGTGCTAACTCTCTTTGTCCACTGGGTCATTGTAAGAAACTTTATAACAAATTCTGACTATCTATGTCCCAAAGAAAATCCAATATGAGCTGTCTCAAGACTGCATATTCTTACAGATGCTGAAGGAAAAATTTCCATTTCTCTTGGTTATCTGGGGCCTGTGATTAAGAGCAGCTCTTTCTTATATAACTATAAAAATGATGTGACTTTCTTGAACAGTTGGTGCCAACCATATGTGACTTTTGTCCTGGCTAGCTTACACCCAAGATAATCACACAGAAACTGTATTCATTTAAACACTGCCTGATCCACTAGTTCTTATTGGCTAATTCTTACATCTTAATTTAACACATTTCCATTAATCTGTGTATTGACACATAACTGTGCCTTACCGGCAAGATTCTAACCAGTGTCTGTCTCAGGCAGGAGATCCATGGCATCTGCCACTCTGCCCTTCTTCCCAGCATTCAGTTCTGTCTACTCCGCCTATCAACTAGGCCAAGGCAGTTTCTTTATTCATCCAATGAAAGCAACACACAAACAGAAGGAACTCCTACACCAGACTTTTATATCACTTTTATATATTTTTTCTCTCAAAATCTACGTTTCCATGTGATTATTAGAGAGAAACTGGTTAGACTAGGTATATTTTCTGAATAATGAATCTTTGAGAAGCTGGTTCAGTCTTTTGAATAAGATTGGTACCCACATACTCATGTAGTCAAATGCTTGGTCATTAGGGAGTGGCTTGAGAAGGGTTAGAATAATTAGGAGAAGAGTACTTGTTAGCATAGGTGTGGCTTTGCTGGAGGAGGTGTGTCACTGAGAGGAGGGCTTTGAGGCTTCAAAATCCCCTGCCAGGAACCCTGATTGCTCTTCAGGCTGACGAGGGAGGGGGGCTTAATTGGGGGAGGGGAGGGGGAGAGAAATGGGAGGCGGTGGTGGGGAGGAAGCAGAAATCTTTAATAAATAAATGAATAAATAAATAAAATGAAATCACTAAAAAAAATTCCCTGCCAGCCCAGACCCAGTCTCTCCTCTTCTTCTTTCTCCTCCTTCTCCTCCTTTTTCTTCTCTCTCTCTCCTCTGTTTCTCTTTTCCTCCCCCATGATGAAAATGGAATACACTTGTGAAACTGTAAGCAAACTCCCAATGAAATGTTTTCTTTCTAAGAGTTGCCATGGTCATGGCGTCTCTTCAGAAAAATAGAATACTGACTAAGTGGATAGCCTTTACTTGCTCTTCTCACAACTTGTTAGGAACTCAAATAAATCATCTAGGATTCACTATAACAATATTTAGAAGTGTGTATCTGCTTTCTCATAGAGATTTTTTTAATGATTTATTTAACTTTATTATGTTCGTTGGTGTGAAGGTGTCAGATCTCGTGGAACTGCATTTTCAGACAGTTGTGAGCTGCCATGTGAGTGCTGGGAATAGAACCTGGGTCCTCTGAAAGAGCAGTCAGTGCTCTTAACCACTGAGCCATCTCTCCAGCCCCCTCATAGAGATTTTTAAAACAATAATAAAACTTGTAAGACTAGAGAGATGGCTGGGCCATTAAAATTACTGGCTGCTCTTTCAGGGGACCTGGATTTGATTCCCAGCACCCACACAGTAGCTCACAACTGTGCAACTCCATTTCCTGGTAATCCGACCCTCTCTTCTGGTCTCTGTAGGCACTGGGTACGCATGCCACACACGTGTGCACATGGATGCACACTTGGGCCAAACAACCATATAATAAAATAAAACATAATAATCATTTTACTTTCTTTATTAAAGACCTGGTGGTACATACTAATTTTCAACTTGACAGAATCTAAAATTCATGTAGGAGACAGGACTCTTGCTAAGTATGTCTGGGATTATCTTGATTCCATTTTAGGCAGAAGAGCTCAGCCTGTTTGTGAGATGTGCCATTCACTGGACTAGGTGAAAGTGAATTCAGAGGACAGCCGTTGCTAAGCACTGGAATTTATTGCCATCTGCTTTCTGACTGCAGTTACAACCTGAGCAGCTGCCTCTAACTCTTGTTGTCAAGCTTCTCCCAACGTGATAGACCCCAACCTTGAACTAAATCCAAAATAAATTTCGTTCTCTTACATGTCCTTCTCAAGAATTTTGTCACAACAATGATACAAGAACTTATATAGGATTAAGGGTAATTTATTTTCTAATAAACTAATATTTTTAGGGAATACAAATGAACAATGAAAAATAGCTCATGTTCTTAGAAACAGCTCTTACCCCTCAAACGTATGTAA